GGCACTGAATCATGAATTAGTGTATCAATTTGGAGAACTTTAGGTAATGTGGTAAGGTTTGAGTTAAAAACTGGTGTTGTGATGGGATTGAGGGAGATATGAAGTCATATTTATGCAGAGGACAGCTTCTAATTGGTATCTTTTGTTCTCCTAAGGCACTTATATTTTGTTTTATAGGCAACAGGGAGTCACAGAATATTTTTAAACAGAGGAAGATGGAATTGGAGGTACACTTTAGAAAAATGAATAGCATAGAGGATGAATTCCAGTGCAATGAAACCAAAAGTAGGAAACTACTTGGGGACTATTTGAGTAGTTTGTTCAAGAGTTGCCAAAACTCTGAAGCAAGAAAGTAATAGTAGATATCTGAAACAGTGAGGAATAAAAAGGTATATAAGAGATAGATGTGTAAGAATTTGAGAAACACCAAGTTTCTAGCTAGTTGGCTTTGCATCTCTGCCTAGGTCCTGAGATGAAGAGAACAACAACAAATAGTAATTTTCTTGGCATTTTAAATGTGAAATATATTTAAGATACCTAGGTCTGATAATCCAATGGCAATTAGAAATTTGGACCAGATAGAAGATAGGAAGTCATAAAACTTAATAAAATCAGATGGTCAAAGAATTAAGATTGAGATAAGTTTTACACTTGGTTCTCTACTTTCTGAATGCCAATATAGAAAGAAGGGATGAGTTGAAACATCTTGAGTAGAAACAGAAATAGAGGAAGAGAGTGAGAAGATAGTGCAACATGGAATGCAGAAAAGTCCAAGCTTTAGGAAGAGGGAAGTTGATAGAACACCTTGAGATTGGAAAGAACAACTAAGTGGTCATCAAGAGTAGTTTTAAAGGAAAGATGACAAGTTAGGCAAGTGTGCTCAAAAAAAATTCTGCTAAACTTCTGTTTTATGTTAAAACAAGTAAATGGGAATGAATTGTGGTTGAAACTCATATAGTCCTGACAGTGAAAGGACATTCCTTCTTTTTCACCAACAAGCTCTTAGCTGAAGTCAAACATTCCCAGAGCTAACATCACCATCTGCCTCACCATTATTTCAGCTCTATCTGAGGTGCTCCAGATGTCTAATTGTTTCTGACATTTGGATGAAGACACCCACAACAGTATGAATCTTCCATCTACCCTTCCCCAGCTCAGTCCCTAAATCTAGCTCAGTTTCCACAGGTTCCTTCTGCCTGCCTTCAGCTCTTTGTTCCCAATAACTTTTATTGCATAGTGCATTGTTAGAGCTAGTCACAATATGCTTATTTATACCCCATTCAGACGAATATTTTCCTTATACGTTCCCATAGTTTGTGCTATTTTTGTGTTTTTCAACATTTCAGCGTGGTGAAAAATGTAAAGTTCTGACAAATTTGTTATATATTAGGAAGGTTCTCTGGGTATTCCTGAAACCTGCAGCATCAGAATGATTAAGTTCCTGAGGTAAGAAGTAAAGACTTTATTAGACAGTGACTATTGTCAAATATTTATTGAGTAAACAGAATAAATCAGACAGAAAAGGCAGAGAAAGTTAGAGATGTCACATGTAATATGTCAAGTTTGGGGAGCTGGGATGTGGATCCCTAATCTGGTGGCAAAGCTTAGAATTTCTACCATGTACCAAATGATCTCTTTTGGTCTCAGTCATTTTCAGTCCAGTGGAAGAAGAGAAAACAGGCAGTCTGAAGTTTATCTAAGGTATTTTTCTTTTAAGTGGGTCTTTAAAAGTTTTGATTAGCTTTCAATCTTATTAATATACTTTATTTAATTAAATATATATAAAGAAACCAGATTGTCATTACCACTTTCTAACCTTATTCTGATAGTAGGTACTATTTACCATAAGGATGAGCCTAATTGAAAAGGTTCTCTGGTATATAAATAAATCTTAATTTAACTGTGAGATTTTTGATATTAATGAGATTTAAATAGGAATGGAATGCCCTGTTTTTACTATTCTAATAGTGGTCCTGATTGCTAAACACAATAAATGAGAACTTTATTAAGTATGTGCAGCTATGTAATGTACATTAAAAATAATAATAAAAAGCCCTAAAGATCATAGTTGAGTTGGAATAGAGTTATGCTTGAAAACTGTGTTCAGTTAAAATTGAACCAACAACCAGCATCTACATAGGTGTTTATAAAGTACAATTCAGAAATAACTTGCATCACTAACCCCAATATTAAACTTCAGAACCCTGAAGTTGCAATACAAAACAAAATACAAAAACATAAAACAAAAACCCTGTGAATCATGAAGTCATCACTCTCCCCCCCCCTCCCTAAATACTTGGAAAATGGTTAACAAAATTTTCTCATCTTGATCTCTTACTTGGTCTTTTTTTTTTTTTTTTTTTTTTTGTAGGCATTTTTCTAACCCCATATTCCACAGCATGGTTTTCTGGAAATACAACCATGATCAAACTGTTTTCTACCTAAAATTCTTCAGTGGTTTCTAAATACTTAGATATCCATGTAATCCAGGAGCCATTTCAGCTGTGGCTATTTGTCTCCTCATCCCCATCTTGCACTCCTCACCCAGCCCTCCAGCCATGCTGAAATCTCATTTAGCTACTTCCAGTTCCTTGAATGTATCTCTTGGCTTTCACACACACTCATCTATTTGCATCATTGCTTCTCTCAGCTTAGTTCATGGGAACCCTTTCTAGCCAGTTGAGTCTTACTGGGTGCACTTCTGTAAGCTTCTACTTATTTCCTGTACCATAGTACTTCTTATGCTATTGTACTTATGAAATTTTCAATATTCTCAGCCAATAGTTCCATCAAGGAAGGTACAATTTTTGCTTTGTGCAAGTCTCTGCTTCTAACACTGAAAGTGAATAAACAATGACTCTTTTAGATAATACACTAATGGTCCAGATGGTTGGAATTTTTAGGGCTCCAGCATATGATTGGGATGACCAGGAAGATGAATATAATGGTAAGCATTCCTAGTGCTAATGGGAGGCATCATTAAGTGCTTACACAGTGCTGGGACCTGTGTTAAGTGCTTTATATCACTATATTAATTATTTGTCATGAAAGTTATACAATGTAGGTATTATTTATATTTTGGAGGGGCAAGAAAATTGAGACTTAGAGACAGTATATAACTTGTTCATGGTTGATAGTTAGTAAGTGATGAAGTCAGGATCCATGGGTAATAATTGGAATATAGTTACAACTTGGCTATATGTCCTTAACAATGAGGTATAGAGTAGTAGTTACTGGGTTTAGAAATTTTAAGGATTAGGATAATAGTAAATTAAAAAGGGAGAAGGGAATAGATATTGACAACTTACATAAATTTGCTAACAATTTATTAATGCTACTGAGGATTAAATACATGAGTGATTTATCACTGAAATGAGTCCCTCCCATTGGATTTTTTTTTTTTTAATTTGGAGACAGGGTCTCATTAAGTTACTTGGGACCTCTTTAAGTCACTTAGACTGGTCTTGAACTTGCAGTCCTCCTGCCTTATTCTCCTGAGTCACTGGGATTACAGGCACACACCTATACTAACACTTTATTTTGTTGTTTTTAGTAGTCAGAATCAATTATGCCATACTTTCACAAAGAAAAGTCAGGTTTTCTTGGACAATTGGAAAAAGAGAATATCTGGAAAAGAAAAGTCCTTTCAAGCAAAAAAATGGCAATCTTACTCCAATTTTTCTCCAACCTATACATTGTCTTTAGTTCAACATACTGTTGAGCTTGTGTCTGGAACCACTGTCATAAAGGAGGGGTTTAGAGTTCAGGAGTCAAACACTCAAGACCTTGATTTTGTTAATTATTACCAATAATTAAAATATTTCAGTAGTAACGTAAATTAGAGGTCACAGATAATGTTCCTTACAGATCCAACATTCTAAGGCCTTATTGAGTGTAATGCAAAGAGAAAAGACGACCACATAAGTATGCATGGATATACATATGATTGCTTTAATTCTAGATTTATAAATGTAGGAAGATAGGATTAATAGAGTGTTTGTGTGCTTGTTTTAAACAGAGGTATTCTGAATGCATTTGCAGGTAGAAGGGACAAAAAGGCTGCAAAGAAATGAGATTGAGTATGCTTGATAAGACAAACTGATGAAGCTAGGAACCACAGGAATAGGTGGGGATGGGAGCAAGAAGAAATGAGGATCTCTGGGGAGTTACACAGTTGAGGAGATACATTGGTACAGAATGAAGCGAGATGTTCAGAAAACCAATAATATTTACTTTATATTTTTAAGTATTTTTTTTTTCTTTTAAAATGCCTTTATAAGATATGGGGCCAATGGCTGTGGGAATAGGGCTTGCCCCAGCATATACGAGGCCCTAGGAAACACACATACACAAACACACACACACACACACACAAACACACACACTAGGACCTAGTTATTTTGTTCTGTTTTGTGGGATTCCCCAGAAAGAAAAAGCCAGGTAGGCTTACGTTATACTGGATTACACACGATGTCAGACCCATAACTTTATTAGGTGAGCATGAGGAAGAAGGATCTGTTGTAAATGTAAAAGGAACCTTACTCGGCTTCTTTATAAAACTTCTTATGTTACACTCCATTGCCTCAGCTGTTTTTACTATAAAGTTGCTAGAAATATTTAGATGTTAAGTGTATAAAAGATATGCATATTTCAGCTATTCTAATTTCTTTCAAACTATTTTCCCCAAAGTCTTTGATAAATGAAATATTATTTTTGCCTAGGAAATGTTTTTCACAATAGTAGTCCAAAATCTGATTTACTAAGTTCCTAAGTCGCCTTCCTGGAGAAGGCACAGGTGAGAAAGTTTAGAATTATGTAAAAATGTTACAAGTATGCTTTTAACTGTAAAAAACACTTTCATAATCCTAAATTTTATTTCCAAAATCCAGAATCCTTATCACCAGAACACCTGCGTCCCTAAAATACATTTATGAGAGAGGTCTCTGTCTTTTTCAACTGAATCTTATTTTTTTTTAAAGCAAATAATCCAAGCTGTGTGGTGACTTTAAATGATAAACTTTTATTCTGAATATACTGTTTTTGCACAAGATTTAACACAACATTTTCTGGGATTATAAATATTTTTATAACAGTATTATACAAATTTTTACAAAATGTTTTTATCAGGCTAGTTAATTTCCACAAAAGTGTCAAGAGAACATAATAAAGGGGAGAAAAGAGCTATTGTTCACAAAAGCCACTTGGTCTTTTGCATGGATGCACACTGGGCATTTCATTAAAAGTTTCCCTAAAAGCATGATCCAACAATCATACAACACAACAAGAAAGATAATTTTGCCAGGTCATACTGTAAACTCGATTGGCATCTATACAAAACAGTATCCCATTAGTCTTGGTGGAATTTGAGATAATTTCTTTTATGTGAACTTAAACGACAGATGTAACCATTGGTAAGGACAGTGTAATTCTTCAAAGTTCTGGAATTTTTTAATACTAGATACTTTGGATTTGCTCTTTACAGAAATGTACACTGGATATTAACAATATTAACATTGGAAATGTTAACTATGGAAAACAATAGAATTTCCAGATAATAATAAACCAGTTGGAATTTGGGCAAGTGAAAAAGTCACAAAATCCATTTTGTCTCCCTAGGTCAGATGCTATACCTTTAGAGATTTTAATATCAACTAATATGATCAATAGAATAGCTTACGAGTTTTAAATCAAGACACAGAATTTTAGCTTTGGTGAAGACAAGACAAAGATTTAAATGAGATGTAAAATACAAGAGAGCATCAAATAAGCAAGTAACACTTGGGTTGCAAAGGTCACTTAAAAGGGATACTGCCTATTTGAACCCCATAAGGCCAGTTTGAAGGTTAATAAAAGAATATTATAAATAGGAAAACTTACAAATGGCAGCAACACTGTTTTGTTTTATTTTTCTCGAAGTTAAGCAAGAATGCCTCACACATTAGAAACATGAAAAAAGATCATACTAAAATCTTATAGGCCCAGGACCTAAATATCTTTTCAATCAAACTTGCTAACTATGTCATGTTAAAAACCTGTTACAAATATGGACCACGATTGGTGTTTGGCAGTAATGCTGGTTGTTCAAATGAAGAAAAGATAAAGAAACCAGAAATGCAAAATTCTTGTTATGAAACACCAATGCAAGACTTTTTCTGACTTTTAGTGACAAACTGCATTAAACTACGTGAGTACAGTAAAAATTAAATAAGTTAAAAAAAAAAAACTTTAAAAAGCCTTTTATTTATCTCTTGTACTTTTCAGTCTTTGGAAGTCAATACTAATACCAGACTAAAATTGAAGTTCTTATTGACATAATTCACAGAAAAATAAAAAATTTAACATAATAATTTAATGGGATGAGTGTTACTGTCTTTGAACAACAAACAACAACAACAACAACAAAAACATGCTAAAAGCATGAAGACTACTATGTCATTAAGACAATCTTTAATCAGAGAACATGTTCTTACCCAATTTGTTACCATGTGTGTGGTTGTCACGTCATAGTTTTATAATCAAATAGGGCCCTGCCACTAGATGCCAAGTTTAATTATGATTAATACAAAATAATGCAGTTGATGAAAACATACTATATAAATGACATTAGCTATGAAGATATATTTAACAGACTTTGAAAATAATTTTAAGGTAGTTTTGTTGTATGCTGGAAGCAATTAAATTGTTTTAATGTGCGTTATTTATATACACAATCTAACATTATATTTTGATATTCCCTTTCCAACACTTTCATGATTTAAAATGGTCTAGCAAAAGTTAATAAGTTTTAAATATTTTAAATATTTCATTAACAAACAACATGATTTAAACATATCATTATTAATCACTTTGGTGTTTTCTAAAATGTCAATACTAGTTATGAATGGACTACAAAATCACGACAATGTGTTAGAAATGGTAACTGATGTCAATTCTTAGAACAATAGTTGGCAAAGTGATTCCATTCCCCCTCCCCCTATTTTAAATTAAAAAAAAAAAAACTTAAATAAGGAAATATACACAAGTGGTACTTAAGATATAGTAGTGGTAGAAGGGAATTACAAATGTATGCAAAGCTAAAAACAAATATATCTTTTAAACATTGCTAAAGAATTGGTTATATCTTTGATATGTGGAACATATTAAAGCATGCTGGATAATGTAAATAACTGTGACATTAAAATGATATATAAGAAAATTTCCAGCATATACACACACCAATATTTGGCATGTTTGGAAAACAAATGCATTTTACCATAAAAAATATCTTTATACTTTCAGCCTTCAATAAAATTATTCACTATTCCTAGAATTACACATTCATTGTTTTTATCCTTTCTTCAAATACTGTTTATTCCTGAAAATAATTTAAAAGCATAAATAATATTTTGCTACAATATTAATCTACAATGAAATATCCAATTTACTACACTAACCATTTTCACCAATGAGGCTGTATAAAAACAAATTTTATTCACAATCAAGTGTTCATGTGCATACATATAGATTCGAGGTTTCCTGTTTGTTCAGATTATTTGTAAAACCCTCACCAAATTCCATGGAACTATTAGTTAAATGATCATATCATTTAAAATGGAGGGACAGAATCAGCAGCAGCAGCAATTTTCGGATTGTACATGCTACTATTGAAATGAACAAAGAGGAAACCTAGGATGAATCTTCATTGAGAACATATATGTACTTTTCAAAAAATAAATGTGTTAAATCTGATTTATGTACTTAAAATATCTGTACATAGGTTTTCAGGCAAAAGCACGAATCTGTATAAAATCCATTATTTCTCATTTCACCGTTTACCTGACCCAGTCATTCAGCATTTACATTGCACAGTATATTCAGAGTAGTTTAACAACGTTTTTAAAGATGACTTAAGTGCATTTACACCGCAAGGTTCAGATTCTTACATGACAATAATGTCACTCAGTTAACTTTTCAATGGACTACACTCTACAGTAAGAGAAAAACCAAAAAGTTAAATAGCAGCAGCATCATGCAAAATACCCTTGGTGACCCAAGTTCATTTGTCACAAGAAAAACATTCCCCTCCCCCCAACAAGCTTTTCTTAGAGCATTTTAAAATATCTGGCTAGCACTACATAACTGTACTGTGAACAAAAGGACATTACGTCAAAGCATTTAAGGGCTTACATTTATGAGGAAATAAGTCACGTGTTCAAATTTCACCCACAAGCACCTTTAGTTTAATAGTTTCTCAGTTAACATTGTCAAACCATCAATTCATTACCTCACCAAAATTTAATTGGTCTTAAATTGTGTTTTATTTTTGGCAGAGAAGTCATTCTTCATAAGGCATTTTATTCATGGCTAATTTTTGGCAGAAAATTAGTCATTTTTTTATATTTCAACAGTTTAGATCAATGTTACTACTTTCTTTCCTGCCCTCCTTCACTAACTACTCAAAGCAGGAATTCTGAACAGAAGAATAAGTGAAGGCAAACATAACTCCCCGCCACCCCTAGTGACTTTCTTGGTAAAACTGCAGCAAGTTGAAATTCCAGGTCAAAATCAAGACGTTTCTTATGATTCATAAACAATTGCATGGGGAGCCCTTTTACATGTAATCACCAACAAAGCAACAACAGACTCCCAAATTGTCCAATAGAGCACATACAGAATTTTGCTTTGATGTTATACATAGATGATGCAGCATTCACACAAATTTAAGAGTCTGACACCCTGACATGCAGCCAGTGGGTGTCTTATGAATCTGTGCCTTAGAGTTACGCATGGTACAGGCCCAGCTAATGTTCTGCTGATTGGACAGTTGACCCTATTTTAATGTAATTGAGGGCTCATGTGTTGGCAGGGTCTGGACTGGACTTATGACGATTTTGGTTTTAGGTCACAATAGGTAGTGTCTGCTGCCAGATACCAGCCAAAGTAGTAGGAACTGGAGTCCAAAGATAGACCACAGGGAGGGATTTAATCCAGAAACTCCTCCACAGTCGGTATAGTCCTCCTGTTGGAAAGAAAGGAAAAAATAAAATCTTGAAAAACATTTAGGAGGGCATCTTTCAGAGTAACCCATATGTAGTTCACTTTGAACTCACCTTGTAAAATTGCTCTAAATGGGATCCATATAAATAACAGTCACCTAGATTTTATTGTTCAGCAATGTTGAGTAAAGCAATTTCCCTAGAACCATTTGACAAATGCTTTAAATTTTTAGTTGTACATTCTGATGATTGTAAAAGAAAATAATAATGCTGTTTTCAGAAACATACCCATTTTTAAATAAAAAATATTGTGTCATGGTACCAAAAGTCCTATATATTTAAGAAGGCAAGAAATAAAAATAAAATTTGATAATGTTCTATCATTCCCAAGAATAATGATCCTAGTAACTGAGCACTATAAGGAAAAGTAAGTAAATTAAAAAAAAAAAATCCATTTACCATATTTCTCTTATCCAATTTCTAAGGGGAACATATGGTAGCTATGTTATATATGGACCTTCATAAAGCATTAAAGTAAAATGAAAAATAATGTATTTGAACCACAAATAATGAAACGACATTCTGAAAATATACATCCGGAAAAGATAAGCTAGAAAGAGAGGTTGTTTTGTTTGGAGAACCATGAAATATTAGCAATGACTATATCTATTTAGATTCTCCACAGTATAGTGGTGGCTTACTTGGTTCCCTAGGAAAATGAACTTCTTTACCTTTTATTCCTGGGTTCTAGAATCTGCACATTTACCACATCCTTTAAATGTAGTGAACTTCTTTGGAAAAAAAAAAAAACTCATATGTAATCATTGTCATAAACATCTTTTAAGAATTCACTAATTGAAGGTTCAAAATGATAGGTTATATAAAAGAATGAACAAAAACATTTTCTTTTGTTCTTCCCTTAAGATTTTTACAAAGATTCTAAGCTTTCAAAAATTAAGAACTTTGTTGTTGTTTTGGTTTACCAGAATAAACAAAGTGCCTGCCACTTGGTAAATAAATAGAATTTCTTTCTTGAATTGTGTCTGAAGAGTACAACTCTTTTCTCTTTATTCTTTTGTTAAAAAGAAGGCTGAGAGAAAAGAATTTATAAAGGAAAACTTTAACTTTCAAAAGTATCTCCCAATCTAAGTAGAAGCATAAAATAATTCTTTGTCCAATGCTCTTGAAAGCTAGACAGCATGAGGACTGTACATAATATTCCTTTCTGGACATGTTTTCTCACATGTCTTTGGCTTATGCTCATCTTGAGCCCTGAGGAATGAAGCTGGATATCTATGGACCGAGACTTCTCAAACCGTGAGCCGCTAGATAAAATTTTCCTTGCCTAAAATTGTTCTGGTCATTTCTTTTAGTCACAGCAGTGAAAAAGCTGCCCAAAACAGATCAGGCTAAAGATTCCTAGTCATCTGAGATTCCTCTTTTTCTCAAATGTATCCATCAGCATAACGACCAAGTTCTCGCCTCAAAATACATACCCACTGTCTTTCCTCTGACCATCTCAAGTTCCAGTCACTACCCTGCTTCTGCAGAAGTTGCCATACTTGTCTCCTTGCCTCTACTCTGCCTTTTTACAATCCCTTCTCCAAAAAGCATTCTTCTTAAAACCATAAATCAAATCCTTTCATATCTTGTTTAAAATTTCTCATCACTTTCAAAACAAAATCCAAATTCCTTACCAAGGCCTACAATGTCTTATGTGGTCTGGAGCCTGGCTGCCCCTTCATCTTCCCACATTCTTCTCCTTTCCTCAGCTCCAACTCTGTTCCTAAAACACTATCATACTCTGCAATGGGCTAAGCATGTACTATCTCAGTGCCTTTGCACTGCTCTGTTTTTCCTTGGGGTACTGTTCCCTATAGGTTAGGGTAACTACATAAAAAACAGGGTACTTGTTACATTCAAATTTTAGATTTAAAAAAAAAAATTGTATGTGTACATGAGTGGAGATATATATCTCCCCTAAGTATCTCACACATACAGGAGTGGCATGATACACAGTAGGTGTGCAGCATTTGATAAATAATAGTAGGCACTCAATGAAGCAGTACACATGCTGACTGGTTAATAAGGCCACAGACATAAAGTAATACTCAAAAGAAGACCTAACTGTCACTCAGCCAGGAGTATTCTGCAATTCTGGCAAAGTATTAAAAACTGTTGTATACATACAACTCATTTTCATGTAAAAGATGTACTTGGTTGAGGAAATTCTTATGAATATAAAACATATCTTTATATTCTAGAAATGTATTTTGCTCTCTGGCTCCTACTTCATTGCGTGTGTGTAATATATATATATATATATATATATATATATATATATATATATATATATATATATATATATATCTCCCCGCCCCCACCATTTCCTCCATGTGATGATGAGATGTCTACCAATTTCAGAGGTGGTAGGTTAGATAAATTATTTGGAGTCCCTGTAGGCTGTATGTCGATTCACACTGAAAAAAATCTGACCCCTTAATTTCCTGATCATGTTTTACATGCTGCAATCATATGCAATAAGAACAGAAATTATGACGTGGAAGTAAAATATGAGATACATTTTTTTAACCATTTTAAATCACAAATGAACACATTGTGGGAGGAAACAGTGTTTTCTGTCTTGTAGAGGCTAAAATTCCACTGACACCTGACCAGATTAATCAGTATCATTTTAAAAATCATTTCAGTAGAAAATAACAGCTTGGTACCTTATTTCAGTTTAACATTAAAATAGAAAAAGATGCAGTACACACACATACACAGTGTGTGTGTGTGTGTGTTTAATATAAGACTATTTTTTACTAGACTTCTTATATGGGACTTCTCTCAAAAGACTTAATAATATGTCACCTGAGAATTCTTTGTTTCTTTTCCTTCTCCATAACTTGCTGAAAGAAACATAACTCTAAAAATCTCTTCAATGTGCTGTTGTTAAAACTAAATCTTTCCATGTCTTTCTTTCCACAACTAGAACCTGGAACAACTAATTGCACAAATAATAGAATTTTAATCTATTTAAATAAAGTGTTTCAGACATTTGGCTAAGGACGTTTTGCTCTTTTCTGAATTAAAGACTAATTATTGAGTTCAGGTAAGTCTGTACTAAAGTCACCCTAAGCTCCAAAGAAAATATATGCTAAAAATTTTAAGGTAGATAGATACTATACATTAAATCCTTTGATAGCAATAATGCCCATAATACATAAGCTGTCTTTATATATAGTATTTTATCACCCAACTACATAAATCCATGTGATAGGTAGAATGTGTTAAACTTTTTAAATGTAGAAAGATGAATAAACATATAGATATTTTTATGCATGTTCAATATTTATGTATCCATAGCATCCTTTTATAAAGTAGGTTTACATAAAATAAAAGTTTCTGAATGGAGAAATTACTGGCTTATTTTCTGCTTTAATTAACATCTTGATCTTTATTTACTTGCTATTGTTGTTCACCACTGAAATCTTCATGAAAACACTGCCAAAAGATCTCATTTGAACACTTGTGTTTTAAGGAACTCCTCACAGTGTGGAGGTTCATAATTGTATACCCACAATCCATATCCTTTTTGGACTATACAGGATACAAGAACGTTTCCTTTAAATGTTTCAAAGAGAGTCTATCTATACCCAACTGGCATGTGTTTACCTTGTGCTGTTATATACCTTTGACTATATAACTGTAGAATAAGTATTCTGTCTTGGAAGGCAGGTATCTCAGGAAACCAACCATAGCTCAAATACTTTGTTTGCTAAGCAAAGGAAACTCAATTTTCTTAACCTTTTTTTGGTTGTTGTTCTGGTTATGAAATTTACATAGAAAAAAGTCAATGTATTTTGCTCTCACTATATTTTTTTTTAAAGGGGATGATCGCTTTATTTTTATTTTTTTAATTTATCAGTTCTTTAGCTATACATGACAGCAGAGTCCATTTTGATATAATCATACAAGCATAGAATATATCTTAGTCTTATAAGATATAATCCCATTGTTATGGATGTATATGAGGGTAGGATTGACTGTGTTGCTTTCATATATGTATAGGAAAATTATGTCAGATTTATTCCGCTGTCTTTCCTATTCCCACCCCCTCTTCCTTCCCTCCATTCCCCATTGCCTAGTCTACTGCACTTCTCATTCATCTATTCCTCATTAGTTGGAAGACCTGGGCTTAATGGAACCTTCAGTTCCTTTGCCCATTTATTGATTGGATTGTTTATTTATTTGTTTACTTATTTGATGTTAAGTTTTTTGAGTTCTTTATACATCCTGGAGATTATTGCTCTATCTGAGGTGCAGGTGGCAAAGATTTTCTCCCATTCTGTAGGTTCTCTCTTCATGCTCTTGATTGCGACACAGGGCATGATGAGCACGCAGATCATCAGGAGGTTCCATTAAGCCCAGGTCTTCCAACTAATGAGGAATAGATGAATGAGAAGACTTATTTCCCTGTCATCTCTGACATTCACTTTATAATAATGATGTTCACTCAAGCCAAAACATCTAAAATTAAACCTCTCACTTAAATTTTTTTTTTACTTGCTTTTTTAAAATTATTTATTTATTTTTTATTGTTGGTTGTTCAAAACATTACATAGTTCTTGATTGCTCTCACTATAGAAAAGGTGAGTAAAATTAATGCTCTCACTATCCAGTGACGAATTCTATGAATATCTTGGGTATTACCTCCTTAGTATTACTGCTATATTAGAACACATAAAATTAACAAATACATATATTTGGACAAGTGCATGCGAGTGTACTGCATGATTTTGAAGCAGGCTCCCTATGAAATTGGGGACCCCTCTCAAATTGAAAACAACTTCATCATACTGGGAGTGGAGGCTGAGGGGCTGGGCCTAGTTCTCCCTTCCTAGGGAGGTCAAGAAAACTGAGGGTGGAGATCAAGCCTCTCCTGAGCCAGTGTAGCACAGACTAAATCTATATGTGTATATCAACTCACTTTCATTTCTATAAATTGTAACTTTCTGTGTGACCCTGACAGAGACAATCTGTTTCTCCCCAGTTTGAGCAAATTGCATAGAATTCCTTCTTCCATCATTTACTTATTTCTTATGCAGGCAGGTGGCTGATAACAATTATTGATGTTTTTGTCCATCTTATGTAACTGAGTACTTCTTAAGGGATTTGATAAAGTTATATTTCAAATAGCTGCCTATATATCAAGATAGTGTTATGAAGAGGGATTATTTAATTTGGGCCTTTTACCTTAATTAATAAAACTGGCTAAAATACCTTTGACTTGGAATATTTTTTTCATGATAAGGATTATCTTGTTATCCCAAAACAAATCAGGCTATTTTCTGAGAATCCTTCTATTCCTGTAGTCTCCCAACCCCCAGGAGCTCATTGCATTCTTAGTAATGGCCATATCTCCATCTAGTGGTTTCCTAATCAATGAATACCTAGAGACTGATGAAGAAAGACTACAACAGAAGTTGCTCTAGTAGCACAATCATGATTATTCCAGAGCATCAGAAATGAAAACATGTAACAATAAATAGAACTCTGAACACAAATGCATCTCCCAAACACCTACTTATCTGCATTGCTTACATAATTCAGAAAGTACTCTAAATATTAGTAAAAATGATAATTTTGATTTAATAGAAGAAATATTTAATTAAATAAACTTAGAAATTAGAAACACTTATTTCAATAAGAATATCAATATTTGGGGAATAAAACTCTAAGTTAATTAAACTAGACCAGTTGATAAGAAAATCAGAATTAATTTCATGCTAGCATTTAAAAATATAAATTAGCTGCTGTTAGGTATTTCTCTTTAGTAAAAGTGTGCTATCATAAAGGCTATATACATTTTTGTAAGCAGTGACAATCTTTACACAAACATGTTATGAGAAAATGATTTTAAAATAAATATAGGACTTTGTTATGTTCTGTTTAGGATGAGAAACTTAGGTACCATTAGAAATCCGCAATTTACAAAATAATATTAGTATTAGAATTTTAATAACCTTGCTTCAGGACATTATTGAGGATTTAGGAATATGGGTTATTTTCTAAAATTTCAAGTGAAAAACAAAAAGAAATAAAAATTAGAGAAAGTGACTGACCATCCACACCACATGAAAACTTGCAGTAAAATGAAGATAGGAGCTGACATCATGGTACAGGCACGACTCGTTGTGCATATAAGTTGATCCTATTAATAACGGGCAAAGTAGCAAGTACAGGGAAAGGAAAGAAAACACAGAAAAGAAGACATACAAGATGAGATTTCATGCAATTTGCTGGCAATTAGCAGTTAATGTGAGCCTCCATCCAGAGCAGATTCACAGTGACCATTGCAAATAAGCATTACCAAAATACTCCACTGCTAAAGAAACATATTATTAGCACACCAAGCTACTGAGCAAGAGCTGTACTTTCACACACAACCCAATACACAATTTATGGGAACTTGAATGGATGGAAATTTTTGTCTGAGTCAAATATTTTTAATTTGTTGGTCAAAATATACAGCCCTTAGAAGGAAATTGTTTTAGGGCATAGGTTTTGTATACCATTTTTAAAGTTCATCTGAGTAAACTGTCTTTGCACTGTTGAAGGTTGGTCACAAATAATTGATGAGTGAAGTTTCCCTAAGGAGTGACACTGTCCTTGGACTTACAAAAATCTTTCTTTGAAGAAAGATTGTATGTAAGCAAGAATCCTGAAGGTGTAGTAGACAGAGTAACAGAAGTCTTCATGTCTGGATTTTATTTCTTACAGGGTAAAACTGAAAAACGACTCAGTTATAATTCTGAATCATTTTCACTATCAAGATGAATAGTCAGAACTCATCACAGAGATATCTGGGATTTACTGGTTAACAGCTCTTGCATTTTTAATCTTATTCTCTACCACTAAGTTTATTTTCTTTGCCCCATTTTTAATTAATATTACCTAGTTAGCTAGAATGTGTCTGTGAAAATGCCTTATCCTCTGTGGAACAAATGTGGCTATGTATATACGTGAGTAGCTAAACCTATTCTAAATAAATAAATATTAGAAAAATAAACATTCATCAAGGGCTGTTCTTACATGCTATTAGAATTCATGCCCCATATGTACATGCTCATTGGTGTGAGCAAGCCACTCACTACACAGACATAATAGAAAATCAGAATTGTAAAATATTATACTTAAAATCATTAAAATAAGTGGAGAGAGATTTTTATCTGGCTTTTGAGATTTCTAATAATTAAAATAATTTTAGCTGGATGCAGTGGCATATGTCTGTAATCCCAATGACTTGGGAGCCTGAGGCAGAAGGAGCATAAGTTTGAGGCCAACCTCAGCATTCGAGCAAGATCCTGTCCCAAAATAAAAAGGTCTGGGGATGCATCTCAATGTTAAAGTACCCCTAGGTTTAATTATGATAATAATAATAATAATAATTTTTAAATAATAATAGTTTTTAAAGTATATTTTTAAAGTTTATTATGTACATAGTAAGAATAGTATTTATTAGAGAAAGACACTTGAATTATAGCAAAAATAGTGATGATCATCTTTAAATAACATATTAAAGATGCTTTGCAGTATTTCATCAAACTAATCCTGTATAACTGACCTGTTATATTTCAAATAATAGAGAAAAACATTAATACAATCTAGAGAAATAATACAAATCTAATATCTGATAGAATCAGAAACTATGTAAAACAAAGCAGGACATTAGCTATATAAGTTCTAAAACAGACTGAGTGAAGACTAAACACAGACTAACATAAATATCATAATCAAAATAACTTTTGTATTTTCAGGGTTTAAATATAAATGAAGGTAGGCAATACATACAACATAAGTAACAGTCACTATAAGTTCTTATTTATCAGAAAGTCTTTAAAATCATCAAATTTGTGACCTTTAATTATTAGTAAATTGACTGGAGTTGTGTTTGAAAGTACAATTTCTGTGGGAAAGACAGAAAGAAGAAGCAACCATTAAGTTTATGCTAACCATGGAAACTACTGAAATGAAAAATCTGAACTAGCAAATACATCATGCTAATGAGAAAAACTATGAATAGGACATGTGCTTGAGTTTAAATTGCAGCTTATCTCCTTAAGTTCTTGTGGACAATGACCGTTAAGTTATAATGTGTTAATCCAGTGAAAGCATTGTCTTACCAGAACATTGTCATCGAAGCAGACCTCAGGCCCTTTCCGGTATCTGGGTCGTTTAACCATATCACAGGGGTCTGGACCATCCGCTAAAGAGACTTGTTAAGGACATTTTTTTTCCCACACAATTAAAAAAGTACAATGAAATGTGTTTATTCCCACAAGCAAGCAAGAGATATCTATGCCATCACTCTCATCCAACACAATCAACCTGATAACTTGGGGATTTTAATGGTGTGTGAACAGCTTAATCAGTTTGTACATTTAAACCACATTTTGGGTAAGGGAACCATTCTTCCCTTGTGGGGGATCATAGTACTCTAATGATCATAAACAACATGACAAGGATAAAATCTTTAAGATTGTTTTGTGTTCTGAACATCTGACATCAAAGGATACAAGTCTGCTCAGCTTGTATAAGCAGCCGTGTGTCACAAGGACATGTGCCTTTGCTCTCCACCATTATGAATATTAAGTTGGTGTTCATAAGCTTTTCTACATGAAAGATTCTGGAAAACAAATGTTAAAGTAACACATAAAATGAAAAGTAGCTTTTGGGGAAAGAATGGAAGTTTCCCCAAATTGTCACATATTAAAACGAGAAGCAAATATGACTTTGAAACACAAAATATCACTATTAACAAATTAGTACAACAGAATGAGTATGATTTTAGAAAAGAGAGATGACCACACTCTTATTTATGAACATGGACATGTTACCTCTCGCAAATGAATGGTAAATAACTACGACAATTTTAAAGTGTTAGACTTCATTGCAAAATCTGTACTAATTTTTGTTGACACTTAGGGGAAAAAAGTTTAATTTGTTATGTTTAAAGACCTTTAAAAGTATGCCAAAAATGCCATATTTTATAGGTAAGAAAATGAGGAGCACAAAAGTGACTCAACATCTTACCCAAGCTAAGGGCAGAATAAAGACTAGATTAATAATGCTCATCAAACTTTCTGTGAAGATGGAAATGTTTTCTACTCTGTTCAATAGGGAATACTTTAGTCAAGAAACTATGAAGCACTTGAAATGTGACATGTGTGACTGAGGCACACTACTTCAATTAATTTTATTTCACTTTAATGGAAATTTAAATAGCCACTTGTGGCTGGTAACTCCTGCATTGGACAATACAGAGACAGAATCAAGAGCTTTAAATTCCATCCTATTTTAGCCATACCCTAAGGTGCATCTGTTCTCCTGTGCAACCAAAGTAAAAATGCAAAATACCACTAAAGAAATTTTATTATGATTACATATTTTTCCCTAGAAATGGAATTTCACTACTTTTTTCCATTGAATTTGGAACACAAACATAAAGCAAATCAAATAAAACCATGACTCAAATGTCTTGAATAAATATATATATTTATATACACCTTATGGATTAACTTAGTTTGTGAGGTATGCATTATTATTGGACCTCAGTTAATGACAGGTCCAAGGACCCTAAACTCCGATGTCTTCCTGTCATTTGCTACAAGTCCATTTCCTTGCAGTTAATGGCTTACAGTGCTCCAAACAAGTTGATCTGCTTTTTTGATTTCATGTTTGTCTTCTCCGTATTCCTCTCCTATTCATACCTTCTACCTCCTTCTTGGACATAGTTGTTTTCAAAATTAAGTCATAAAACACACTAACCATGTTTATTAAAATTCATGATAACCCCTTCTTTAAAAGAAAAAAAAAAAAAAACAACACTTCAACTGTTATAGACTGCCTTTCCAAATCCCCTAGCAACTATTTCAGCCCTTACATGATCTCAGATTACCTTGCCTCCTCATATTTCCTCTACCCTCTGTTAACATTTCTTCTGTAGTAACTTGCATTCTGTCTCTAAAAGTAAAGTGTCTCAACTCTGTGCTATGAAAGCTGTGACTTGCTGCTGGCTTCTCAGGAATCCTGTGGCATGGATTATCACTTTCCCCCCAAACCTTCTAAAGTCTTCCTCTCGCCTTCTTCTCTTTCCCATTATAACCATTTACATTTTCCATCTCTTCCAAAATATTTTAAAGATATTTTATAAATACTAACATTAACCATGACCTTATGAAATGATATTTTATCTCTATTTCCTTCAGTTTCAAGTCAAAGATAATATTCAATTCTTCATGTCAGAGATAACCAGAGGTAAAAACAAAGCAAAGAAAAACCCCAGACTGTGATTTTGAAAACCTGTTTAGTTACCTTATGTGAAAAAAAAAACACATGTTTGGCTTATAACTACTGATATAATTTAAGTTATATTAGAGTTAATATAATTCTTTAACTTTTTCTATGTTAGAAGATTTTTAAATATGGATTTTTTAAAATGAAATTTAAAATTTTCTGTTCTGCCTACAATAAAACCAATTATCCTAATCATGTAATTACAATTTGTAATATTTAGAATTTTAAAATTTATAAATTTTGAAGCTTACAACAACTGACATGTCAGTTTAAAACAATGACATGTTTAACTCTAATGACAGTCCATTCTTTTCTGTAATGATTATGAAAGTGAATGCAATTTCTTAGTGAAATCAAGGAACAAAATACCTGGAACAGTTTCCACAGTCCAATACACCACTGAATGATTTACTGTCATTATCAAAGAAATACTGGGTTTGTTCTGTTATGCAGCTCTGCTTTGATAGGGAGGTGGTAAAGTCGTCATCCTCCATCTCAACTGTGGGAATCAAAACAAAGATCATATTTGTTAGGATGAACCCAACTACTATGTAAAACAATAAAACTCTAATAAAAATATTTAAAAAAATAAAAAAGATAACCACCATGAGGGGACACTAGTCAGTCCCCAGAGTCATTTCTCACAGGGCAAAATTAATATGGAAGGCTACAAGCTTCAATTGACCTGTTTTATCCTCACAGCCTGTAAAAGGTACCCAATAAGTATCCATAAAATAAATATATTGCCAAATAGAGGCCAATGTGAACTAGGGAATTGTTGATGAAAACTTCAATCTGCCAAAATGTCAAATGGATGATCTTTTTCTCACAAACATTTTCTCTTTGAACTTACTGAACTCAGCACATCTAAAAAGAAATTTTGATAGTTGTTAATATCTGACCATTTACATACCTGCCTCCAGGAGCCGTGGGAAAGTCAAACTCAAGAGAAACTGCTGGAGAATAGACCTGGATTTTTAAAATGAATAATTACTATAAATTTTATAATAAAATATGAGTATTTTTGCAAGCATACATGCACGTAAGTACATATTTCCTTCTTATTGATTTGAGAAAATTTTAGAGTTTGTTCATTGAAAAAGGATTGGAGCATTCCCATATAAGTATTTCTTAGATTATATAAAATACTGAACCTTTTAAAAATCATAAAGTCATGAAGACAGAGGTGTCTGAAGCCAAGTTTTAGACATAAATGTGTGAAAGGAGCTGAATATGCAGTACTATCATACAGGACTGGTAACTCTAACAAGCAAAATGTCAGTATTTCAGGTTTTTATGTACAGGATTTTCTGTTTGTCTTTTAAAACAATGTTGAAACAAAAAGGACCTTGTTTATTCCACAGAATTGGGCTTGTGAGCTATTTGTGATAAAGAATATATTTGTGATATATAATGTGACATTCATGAAATAATTTGTATATAAATTATACAAAGAACATATGGCACATTTCAGCTTCATTATAAAAGACAATTGATCCAAATCTTGTACAGAATCATCAGGAACAGAATCATTTAGAAAAGGCAGGGTAGACTTGAGCCAAAAAATATTATAAAGTATTTTGGATCACTACAAGATATAGAAAACATTCTTACTATACAAATATTACCAACATACCCAGAAATATCATTCTTGGGGGAAAAAGGAGGGTTTTTATCTAAAATATCCTTTACCACTTTAATAGAATGATATGATCATTTAATTTTAACGGGAAAAACCTCAATATCAAATGAATTGTATAGATTCATCTACATGGAATAAGGAAAAGACAATATAGTAGGGTGACAATATAAAAATTTTAAAAAAAGAAAAAAAGTTAAAAAAAGAAAAAAAGGGAGGAGGAAATAATAAGTCCTAGACACAAGACTGACTGGTTAGAAAAAAAGAACAAGAAATGTGACTTTCCAGATTTCCCACAGTGTCTCCATAGACAGTTTAAACAACTCTTTTCCATAGGTAACAGGACAGAGGTGGGAGTGGGAGGTAGGAGAAATGAATCAGAGGAAAGAAAACTGAATTCATTTCAGCAACATGATGACTCTAAAACTGTGTCAATTTCTGTATTAATAGTAAAAGAGTAGAAAAGTGTCATCATGTTACACATTGGATCAATGTAGATATCTAATTTGGACGTTAAAGAAAATAAATAATAACTTTCATAGTAAGTACAAAACAAGGAAAATTATGCTGAATTCAGAATCACAGAGAAAAAGTCTCTAGAGAAGGTGAGGTTTCACTGATCATAATATTGTTTTCATGTAAAGAAATTAATTGTGAATTTCTTATGATCATTTAAGAACAACTCTTTATAAATATTTTCAGTATGTATTAAGGGAAATGAAAAATTACTATAATTTACCTGTCACAAAATTCATAATTTCATCAAATACTTTACTATTTTAAAACAACTTTTTTTCTTTACTAATAAAACTAAAAATCTGACTTACCAGGCAGCAGCAGTGGCCCACCAGCCAATTTGTAATATGTCTGCTATTGATGGCTATAAAAATAATAAAAATGTCATTATATTGATCTATGCTTGAATGTCCCATTAAATTAATTCACCCATGGATGATACTGACCACATATGCGGAGCGATGTCCTGCTCCCTGCTTTGGTGCAGCACCGGGCTCACATACTGACTGATAATCGTAAGATTTGTTAAAAGCATAAACTGATATATTAACCAGGTGTCTCATCAAACTTGGATCAATCTCTCCAAAAAATCGTCCAATCTGATAAAAAAAAAATAACAAAGTTTCAAATTTAAGCCAAACATGAACAGCTGAATCAATACAGTGAAAAGAAATACAACTAAGAAATTGTGAACCAAAACAAGGGCTTAGAAACAAGAGCAAATGAGAAACCTGCATGTGGCAATGTGAAAAGAACCAAAATGAGATTAAGTATTCTCATTACTCAGTTTATTTTATTTGTGGGTCAAATGGGCACAGATTATTACACATCAATGTCACAGTAAAATGCATCCTAGGTTAGTAGAATGGCATTGGTCATGGGAAACCAGGAAATGTGGGTCAGATGGCTCAAAGTTGCAGTTATACAGGCTAAAAAGGCCTAGAGATTTAATGTGCAAGCGAAGACTGCGGTTAATAATATTGTGTTACATACTGGAAATGTGATTTTAGGTTCTCTTCCCACCTCCCAAAAAGGATAATTATGTCAGATTGTTAATTGAATTGACAGTAGTAATAATCATGTATCAAAGCATCTTGTTGTATAGGTTAAATAAATACAATGAAACACAAAGAAAATGCCTTCCAGGAAATGATAAGTATCATATAAAAGAGCTGTGGTGAGCTGGGGGGAGACTCACCTAAAGGGGCAATCATTAGCTATTGAGCTCTAACAAAGAAACAAACTGTTATTCAATAAATAGTCCAATGTAGAGATATCTTTTGATATGGAGAGAGAGAGAGAGAGAGAGAGAGAGAGAGAGAGAGAGAGAGAAAATGCTTGCACACCAGAAACATAGATTCAAAATGAGAATTTCTTGGGTGAGCCTAATAGCCTATATGATGCCAATTTGTAAATTTGAAACTAGAAAATAGTGTCCAACTAGTAACATATTAAGGTAGATGCTATCAACTGATAAATATTTAATATGCAATAACTTTTTAAATTTCTAAAAGTTGAAAATAAGTTCATATCATGTTAAAGTCTTTAATGATAACTATTGGTGACAAAAAGTAAAAGTGTTTAGAAAACAAAGAAAAGCTACATTTAGCATGTGTGTATTATAGTTTATATTAATCACTTGAAATTTTATGTGGCATTAATAAAATAATGCATAAATTTATATACACTGTTTGTAGTGGTTCTGTAATGTTGATCACCGAAATACGCATTAGAAACCCCGTAGCTCCTTCTTGAGTTACATACCTGGTTAGTATATTCATCATGATTTGCCATCAAAAGAAACCCACCATCATCTAGAATCACACAATCCATTACCTATCAAAATAAAAATAATAGTCAACACACTATAGGAAGAGTTAAAGACTGCACTATCATTATTCTATTATTTTTTAATGATCAGAACAACAAAAATAGGGAAAAATCAACTATTTTTCTTTAGCATATATGTATAGGAAATTCTGATAAAATTATAGGAAAGCATATATTGATATTAAATCACAAGGGCTTGATATCTATTCCACCAAATATCCAATTAATCTTTATCACATAAGTCATATAAATGATCCAGGAAATTGGACAAAAATATTTGATGATATGTCACTATTTCATCATTTTAAATATATATTTAATATTATGAGAAGAAAAAAAATTATAAACCAGTTCCTGTTACAATTTAGCTATTAGGTTTCCCCCCAAAATTTTTGTGTGAAACAGTTAAAGGAAGTTTTGAGGTGAAATGATTGCATTATGAGAGTCTTAATCAGTGCATTAATCTCCCCATAGGGATTAATTTGGTAATTGTAAGCAGGTAGTGTGGCTGGAGGAGCTGGGTGGATTGGGCCATGCCTTTGGGGTTTATATTTTGTCTGTGGTGAGGAAAGCTCACTGTCTGCTTCCTGGTGTGATATCCTGAGCCACATTCCTTCACCCCACTCTTCTGAAATAATGTTAGGCCTAGAAACTAGAAAATAATGTCCAACTAGTAACATATTAAGGTAGATGCTATCAACTGATAAAATCAGTTGATCTCAGGCCTCAAGGAATGGAGCAAACTGTCCATGGATTGAGACCTCTGAAACTGTGAACCCTAAATAAACTTTTCCTTCTCTAACTTTTCTTATCAGAAAAGTTTTTGGTCACAGCAAACTGAAAAAACTGACAAAAACCATAAATATACTTCACAGATTAAAAAGAAAAAAAATCAATCAAGGGATTATAACTATTTTATATTTTTGTATTAAAAATGTTTGGTTGGATAATTATAGATTAAAAGATGAAAACAAAATCCTTATGGCTGAGTTAAAAAAAAAATCACCCTGAAATGTAGGAAAAGTTACCACCCAGTTTAAAAATAAGAAAATGTGTGTGTGTTTATATATTGCATATTTTTGTATTTTGTATTTTTTTTAATTTTTTAAATATATAAGGACTGAATTCAGAGATGCTTAACCACTGAGAAACATCCCCAGACCTTGCCATTTTTTATTTGGAAACAGGGTCTTGCTAAGTTTCTGAGGCTGGCTTTGAACTTGTGATCCTCCTACCTCACCTTCCAGCACCACTAGGATTACAGGCTTTTACCACTGGGCCCAGAGAAAATCAATAACTTTTAATAAATAAAAACACATTGCTTACCATTTGGGAACATAATACATTTCCCTAATGTGGAAGTACCTTGTTAAAACCTTTGCTTTAAAAAACACCTGCTAAATAGTCTAAAAAAATGAGAAAGCTAGAAAAACAATTAAAATTACTGGTTTATAATATTGCAGATGTAAAAATGATACCCCTGTTTCCCTTGGACATTTCACATAGAAAGACCAGAAGAAAATTGTGGGATTTGTCAGCCTTTATAATCCTTGCCATTGTCAAGTATTATATTTGTAGCCTCTTCAATTTTTGAACAGTTAATCCACATTTTCTTTTTTAATTTCTCAAAGAGAAATGGGAGTAATACAAAATAATCCAATACTTGTAAACAAATTTTTGAAATAAACTATGTAACTATAAACTATATAACTATTTTTAAGTTTAGTTAAAAAATGTTTTCCATTACTATATAACAGTGTGAACAAATAAAAAGAAAGTGCAGAAGATGAGTGAAGCCACATTGGGAACCAAAAGATTGCTTTGGTTGGAAATTTCCCATCCAGAAATACAGCTAAAGACAAGTATGGAAAAAGAATCTAATATGATTTTTGTAATCTACCCATACTACATGAATATTTTAAAAGGCATTTATGGCTAGAAATTAGTGCTTCTCTCTCAGTGATAGGGCACTTGCCTAGCATATATAAGGCCCTGGCTTTAATACTCAGCACTGCCAAATAAGAAAAATATAAAATAAAATTAGGAATCGAAAGCACATAAATTCAAATTCATACCTATTTTCATTCTTACCTATTTCACATTTCCCCAGAATCTTTTTAGCATAAGATTAAAAATTCATATACCCCTTTTTATCTTTCAAATCTCAGTGAGCAAGAGTAACACAATAACCTATTGTAGTTAAATATATTTTTAAAGAGTTTTCTTACATCACTGTTTCTTTTGCAGTCACAAACTGGACCAGCACACTGAAAGACAGAGATACAATTATCATTTCACACTTTTTAAAAAAAATTGATTTCAAATATATTAAATAACATTAATTAGTTATGATTGTTATAATTAGAGTTTTGGAATGATTTATCTAGAATAAAATAATAGTCTAGATCATAAGAGAAAGTTTTAGCATAAGAAATATCAATCAAAATATATAGTAGCATTTCAAGTAATAAATTTGAACTACCTTTTTATTTATTAATGTAAACAAAAAGCTTCAAAAATAGGAGTAAATATTTCTATTTTAATATAGTTAGTGTCACTAAAAATTATTTTGTTATTGTATAATGGTATTTTTTCTAGGTTGAATTTTTACAATATTAAGTATAACATAAAAATTTTTAAAAAATTATCTTACCGGATCCCTGATTGAGGTTTTGGTGAAATTCTCTATCCAAGAATTTACATCAATTTTGATTCCAACAACTGAAAAATAATTTTAATTAATTTAAAGTGATAATTAAGTATACTAGCACTTTTGACAGTTTATACAATAGCAAATAAATGATGGTTTCAAATATAATATTCTTATAAAGATGTATTTCTTAGGATCTTCATTAATAAATAATGTAAATAGCTCTCAAACTATTCCATAAACTGTAATTAATATTCATAAAACAGTTTTATTTGACAACCAGAATCTGGCCAATTAACTAATACTATAAGCTAAAAAAAGGAGTGTCAGGGATAACTTCATCAACATGAAGTCATTCAAGCAGTATATTTTAAGAGGTTGCCCTAATCCTATCAGTGCATGTGCTTGGTGCTTAGGAAATACTTATTGATAGAGTGGGTAGATGAGTGAGCACATGGGCAAGTGAACCAGTTGCTAAGAGAATAACTGATGGAGTTAAGGAAGGAAAATGTGAATGAGAGAATGAGGGAAGGAGTGAATTCATGAAATGGAATCACCCTCAGTAACATCAAAACAATCTCCCTACTTCCATATGACCCAATTTTAATATATGCTCTTTCTAAACTTCAAACAATACTGAATCCCATAGTGAAAAAATAAAAAGATAGTATTGCATTTGTCCACTTCAAATTCTCATTGATCCTAAGTTTTACAATGTTTTTTCTTTGTTCAATTATTTTACCAAAAGTCATTTTCCATATTTTATTGTATATGCAATAGAGCCCTATCTTTCTTTTTCAGATATATAGTAATCTAGGGTATAGGTTAGCTATGATGTATCTTTTCCCCCAGTGATACAAACCTAATGCTTTAAGTTTAAATTATTAAAAATATTTACAACCTTGGCCACATAATATTGTATGTATTGAAAGTAGGAGAGCATGGTAGGGTCACAAGATCAATTCTAGATTTAATATTTTGTATTTGAAATTCTGTTATATCACACTAAATGTCATACATTACACTAAAGTGATTGCATAAACTTAAATATATTAACATATCCACTTTGAAAATTCTTCAACTTTGTATACTATCAAGTTAATTTTATCTCCAATTTTATATTTAACTATATGTTTTTAATTCTGGTCATGTTTATATGTTCTTATATGCTTACCCGCAGGTTTAAGAAGTTTTCCTTGGATAGAGATTTCCACAGCTTTGCTTACCATAATGCCTGATTCATATGCACCTGGTCCACTTTCTAAAAAATAAAAATCAGACCAATCTAGATAAATCATAAAACTGATTTCTTCAATTGATTTCAATTTCTTCAATGGATACTATATAGTGTTTTTCTTAAAAATTCTAGCATATAGCCAAACATGGTGGCACACACCTGTAATCCCAGCAGCCCAAGGAGGCGAAGGCGGACGGATCACAAGTTCAAAGGTAGTGTCCACAATATAATAAAGTCCTAAACAACTGTCTGTCTCAAAATTAAAAATAAAAAAAGGACTAGAGATGTGGCTCAGTGGTTGAGCATCCCTGAGTTCAACCATAGGTGCCAAGAAGAAAAAAAAAATCTTGCATATAAAATCTATAAGAAGCATGTCATCTCTTCTTTCTCTCATCTTCCTTTATATACTGGGTTAACTGGAAGTCCATGAATTGATATCTATTGATTTAGGAGCATGAATTACTCAATTTGATTTGATCTTATTTCACAGTGTAAAAGATGAACACAAACACAGTCACATCAATGTTTATAGCAGTACAATTCACAATAGCTATACGGTGGAGCCAACCTAGATGGATGGATGGATTAAAAAATGTGGCATATATACACAATGGAATTTTACTCAGCAATAAAAGAGAATAAAATCATGGAATTTGTAGGTAAATGGGGGGTGTTGGAGAAGATAATGCTAAATGAAGTTAGCCAATACCAAAAAAACAAATGCCAAATGTTTTCTCTGATATAAGTAGGCTGACTCATAGTGAGGTAGGGAGGGGGATCATGGGAGGAATAGATGAATTCTAGATAGGGAAGAGGGGTGGGAGGGAAAGGGAGGGGGCAGGGGATCAGCAAGGACGGTGGAATGTGATGGACATCATTATCTAAAGTATGTGTATGAAGACACGAATTGGGTGTCAACATACTTTAGATACAAACAGAGATATAAAAACTTGTGGTATATATGTGCAATAAGAATTGTAATGCAAAAATAAAAAACCCAAATACATGCATAAAGACATGAATTGGCATGAACATACTTTATATACAAAGATATGAAAAATTGTGCTCTATAAGTATAATAAGAATTGTAATGCATTCTGTTGTCATGTATTTAAAAAATAAAATCAATTATAATAAATAAATTAATTAGTCAAAATATAAAACTGAAAAAAAAGATGAACACCAAATCTCTGCTTTATGACATCTGCAAAAATATTGGGTAGGCTGCTAAATTGGAGTAGAAAGAATGACTTTGGATTCATAACACTACTTTGCCTTTTAAAAACCATTGGACAAAACTGAAATTCTCTAAACTTCAGTTTTGACACTTGTAAAAACAGGAGTAAAAAATACCTATGCTCAGACCGAGCTCAGGAGAATTAAATTAGAAAGTCTTTTGTTTTTGTAAAGAACCTGATAAAATAGTTTAAAAGATGGGCTATTATTTTTATAAATGCTACCTTATGTAATTAATACTGATAAAATGCAATTAATCAACTATTTAATTCATTAAACATTCTTTCACATATTTCAGCTGTGACATGAAGGATGAACTACATATGTTTCTATTTATTAAGCTGCCTGCTAGATATGCTATTCTACATTACTTTGCTATGCATGCATTTTACCTCTTAAGCTAAATGGATGTTTCTTTTCTATTTTCCTAATGTTTTGCATATGCTGTGGCTATTCTGAGCAGTTAACATGAAATATATTGACTGGGGAAGAGAAGGTAGTAACAATAATTTGCTTTAAAAAACATAATTGAGAAAACTGAGTTCCAAAGCAATACTTACTGTTAAAGTAGGGAGCAGTGAAAACATAGTTATCATTATCAAGGCTCCTTTTGTAGAAGCTGTCTTCATATGTCTCCGGGTTTTCTTGCCAATTTTCTCCAGCCCTAAGGAGGAAATGGCTCATCATTTGTACTCTTTAAAGTCCCAGATAACCTACCTCTCCCTTTGTGGAAATACTGAACTTTATACATACATCTATCCCTCAGGTGTGTATAGGGAAGTTAGTGGATAATGTAATGGATACTTATTATAAGCAATATATCAGCATGTCATTATATGAAGAATCAGAAAAAGCTGAATCCTAATTTTAGCCTGCCATTTGCTTGTAGGAAATTATGGATAAGTCAGTTAATAAGTTAATTAATATTAATAGCCTTGGTGACTACTCAGGGCACTGAAGGAACTACTCCTAAGATAAACAGAAATTGAATACATTAAAGAAAAATGAAACACTGAAAAGCTACACCACTGTTGCTGACAAGTTATAATCATTTGCTCACTTAATAGTTGGGCTTGTGTCTACAAAAAGTCTCCTTCAACCGCTAATGAATTTTGTAATAAATACATATGACTAGCAACAGTACCATTGAAGGATCCTATGATATCATTTTTCAAATAAATGGGATATTATAATAATATAAGCACATTAAACAATGACTCTAATTTGATCTACAAAAATGATCAGTTGCTCTCAAGAAGGCTTCCTTATATAGTCTTGGCACAATCCTTTGTAAGGTACTTATTTTTACAGATGTTATTTGAACTTACTCTTTGGGATAAACTCTGGTAATCCCACCATCAGTCACAACAAACCGAGCCTTCACTCCCTTGCTGGAACAGAAGATTAAAAGAAGGAAATGTTTTATTAAATTTACTCAAAGATATTATGTTAGGTGTGGGTGACACAAAAAGAAATAAAGCAAGGTCTTAAAAGAAGTCAAGGTAAATATAGTTGCAAAACTATGTTTCAATAATTGAAACATAATAATTGAAGAATCCTTGAGTAAGTACTCAAAGGGGTATGTTTAAGGAAGTCATCTCGTAAGAAATAATAAGAAAGGTGCATTTTGAAGATGAACAGGAGTTAGGAGGGATGACGGAGGAAGCAGAAGACATCACATGGAGAGCGATGAGTATGTATTAGGGAAAGCTTATATACATATACATAAGTGCTGCTGTCAGATGTAAGAAGGGCATAAGCAAAGTAGATAAACAGTAGGAAGTTAAGTTTCAAGAACAAGCTTCTAAGGAATGATCACCATGAATAATTTTGAAGTCCAAGCTAGAGAGCTCCATTGTTATCTTGAAATTAGAATTCTGTTTTCGAAGTAAGATTCTGGCATGTGTGTATTGTATGAAGAATAGACTGGGAGCTGTGGTTGGAGGCATGGGGAGCATGAAATACAGAAAAATCAGTTGCTGAAATTTCTTAAGGTCCTAAGATCCCATTTTTATGAGGAAGAGAGGAAAACTTTGTTAGAAAGATTCAGCATTTAGCAATTGAGTAAAAATGGGGTAGGGAGATTATGAATGAGAATCTTAATCAGATTTCTCATTTTCTAGACTGGATATATGGGAGACACTACTAGAAAGCCAACTAAATATTCACTAGAAATGCTGTTTCACTAAAAACACAGAAGCATACAAACATGCCAATCAATTTGATTATTCACACTGAAGTATAAAGCTGAGTAATAGCAGATATTAATACTGAAATACACCCACCTGAGAAAGCAGGTTGTCAACAGTTGTAAAATGCTTCTCTTGAGAAATTATTATTAAAGACAAAAAATAAACTTGAATTTTTTGAGGCCTTTTGTCCAAAAAATTTGCAGGAAGAAGCAAAACTAAATTGCACAAGTATATATTTTTATTAATAAAAACAAATACTTACATATTTTTCTGCTTGCTCCAGTAATTTTGGACAAGTTCATTTGTAAAGCCTGCATCCAGTAAGACTCTATTAATCAAATCTGTATTACCTAATAGAAAAATAATATATTCAATTATACCCACATTGTTTTTTTTAACGAGTACAACACTAAAGCAAATGTATTTTCTGTTTTCAAAAGTAATTTAGACCGAATATTTCCATGAATTTAAAAATTATATTCCATATTTATTTTGCCATATTTTTTGAGATACAGCTGGAATTAGCAGTAGAAAAGCCAATTCCGAAAGAAAAAAGCTTTTGTAAAATCAGCATTATCTTGACTTAAAATATTTTTTTAAATCAAAGGGACACTTAAAATATACCATGTTGACAAATGATGAGGAAAGAGACTTCCTTCTTTGCTTTTAGTTTGGTTCTGTAGATTATCATGGTGGTTCCAAAATAAAAAAAAAGGTTCGTAGAAAATTTTAATAAATCTTATTTTTCTTTGTACAATCTTATTTTTCTTTGTGTGTGTGTGTGTGTGTGTAGATAGATTTAGATATACAGATATCTGATAAGATTGGTAATTCTGAAATCATCAAGTAAAAATATTAAACAAAAATTACTTTCTGCTTTCATTTTCATTTATTTTTGTAAGAAAATGTATTTTAATAGGAACATAAGAAAATCATGGAATAAATATGACTTTATGAAAAATTCAATAAACATCCTTTTTTTGTTTTGGAGCACGGCAAGGAACAAATTGGCCATCATAGATCAGCTCTCCTCTGAGACTGGGTTCTGGAACCTACTGTATTGGTTCAATAGCACAGGATGCAGTTGTCCTTTCTGTGTACCCAAAGAGCATATCAATGCAAATTCAAGATAAAGAAGGGAATAGATGCGGAGGACTGAAGGTTAATTAATACATTCTTAAACAGTGTTACTGTCTTCCTGTTCTGCTTGCTCCTCTACTCTAAGCCCATGAAGCTCTTAAACAATCTAAGATACCCTCTCTAAAATTTCCCATTTATTTCACAATCTCATTTTATTCAAATAAGTAAGGTATGGTATTAGTTAATATCCAATTACTGTAAGAAGTTTAATAGGCTGGAAACATTTTAATTAGTTTAATTTTTCTTTCTTATGGGATTGGAGGATCAATTTAATTCATATTTTTGACTAAATTTCAATTCATTCTAGGAGCTATCTTACATTATTTTAGAAACTGCATTACTTTTAAAAATAGCCCACTTGGAAATTAAATTGTGTATTTTAATTGTCTCCAATCCTTTTAGGTAAAACAAATGAGACTATTATTCTAATTTGTAATATAAATCAAGGTTATAAGCAATTTTATAATTTTGCTCATCATTTCACTGTGCCCCAAGTGTCTTGAAATATGTTTTCTGAAGCTGGTTAAATACAATATATAAATTATCAGCATTACCCTTTACATTTTTATACACTTAGTTTCTCATAAACAATAGTTAAATGAGAAGGAGGAAGGATGTGAGGACAACAATAAATCTATATAATAAACATTTAGGTAAGTTAGTAAATTCATTTAGACTTTAGGAAGAATTGTAATTTCACTTATGGACCAAGTATAGGTACTTTTACAAAGCACAATCTATTTTGATCACAGATTTCAATGGCTGATATCTACTTTTCAAGTTTAATGTTATTTGATAAAAAAAAAGAAAAAAACATTTAAAAAATCTAAGTTCACATATATGATCTCTTTTCTACAATTAAAAAATCCTATCCTTTTTTCTGTTCTTCACTATATACATATTTATCTCAATTATTTCCTATTTGGTTGTAAGGGAGGCAGATAAAAGGTAGATAAAAGGAAGAGACTGAAGAAAAGACAAAAACACTATGGATCATACAGAAAGCATTTTTAAAAACATATTTGCACTTCCCTAAGGAGTGCAGTAGAAAAAGAGAGTGATTCCAATTTTCATGGTGTTCTGAAGATTATAAGTTAAGATAAACATTTATGATAAATTTGTGATTTCACATGAGAGTATTACATTAATTTTGTTATTCAATTCAAGTACCTTTAAACAACCTTATTTCAGTTCTCTCTTGGGCATGCTTATTACTTGTTGATAGGGAATGACATAAAATAACATTAGAAGGCTGTGGTTCAATAAAGTAAGCTTTCACTGAGAAGAAAGGTTTGGAATCATCCTGTTAAGGTAGGATCAGTGGCGACCTCAGCTGCCCAGGATATGTTTTTAGAGTGGTTCCTAGAAGTCATTTGCAAATCTGAGCTATGGAGGCACTAAGAAGTCATTTCTGCTTGTATGTGATAAATTTAGAGACAGCTTTAAGAAAATGGGGTTTTCACTTTGATAAGTGATAAAGTGCTTTGTTTAGATATAGAGAGGGGGGAGAGAAGGGAGTAGGAGGAGACAAATGAAAGAAGGGAGAGGGATCAAATAGTTAACTTTACCATAAAAAATTAATAGAGCATATAAGTAAATGAGCACACCAATAAATTAATACAATTATCATAATGTTCAATATAAACCATGATTTAACCACTCTGGGTAAAAAAGCCACACTTAAGCAATTACTGCAAATTAATATATACTTACATGATGGGTTGTTTGGAGTTTTTCGATCAATAAACTCATTGAAATTTAAAAGAAATTCAGTGTTGTTATCAGATGGTTTAAGGTCATTGCAATAATCTCTGAAAAAATATATTTTAGAATATTAGGTATCAAAATCAAAACTTTACAGGGTAATTACAGGTAGCAGAAACAATATTTTCCCCCCTTTTTACTAGATGCATGACTTTGTAAGCCTTGTTACCTCTATTTCCTCATCTCCATAACAGAAGAATAGTTTGTCAGTAAGTGGTGAGATTATAAAAATCCAGGTTTTGTTTTATTAAATAAACTATTGCATATTGAAGGTATTATAGTTCTCCTCCAGAAATTAAAACAGAAATCTAAATGTCCATTAAAATATTAATAAATCCATTATATTAAGACTATAAGAGAAGTTATTATATTTAAAAATTATGAAAAAGTGGCAAGTTTTAAATATTTGTATCTTTAATTCCTAACTTAATTGTAGATTAATGCAGACAAGTATTCTCTGCATTTGAACAACTGCAAGATTTTGTTTTGATGTATGAAGAAGCTATGTTGTCGCAAATAAAATTTTGATCCTCTATCTTGCATTTGAATCAATCTCTTATGCATCCATTATTTTCTAGCATCATACATTATTTTCTAGCATCATAAATTGATTATTTGGAAAATATAATTTGTGTAGGAATTCCGAATGATGCCACATTTCATTATATAATATTGAAAATTTGCATCCATTAATATCACCACTGATGTCACCATTTAGGTCTGTATTGGGAAACTGTCATCTTGCTCTCATGGACACAGCTTTCCCAAAATTCTGATTTTTTTTTTTTTTGCTTGAAAGCCTGGATTTTGTCATTGGCAACAAATATGTTTACTTGTTTTCTTCAAGGTAAAAGTCTCACTAATTCATTTTTGAAAAATGTCTGCCATTTTTTTCAGGTAAACATTTCATTTTTTAAAAAGGCAAAAAGCACTTAGTTCATCTCCCAATTCAAACAACAGATAAGTGCTCTTCTTTGAGGCATCCAAGCTCTTCTCAGATGTTGAAATACTTTTAGCTTTATCAAATAGAATGATAAAATACAGAAAATTGTCCCTTTTTATAGGGGAAAACTTTTATAAACTAAATGATTCTTAGGGCTTCAATTGTGTGTATTTTAAAGGAAGATTGGCTTTTGCCCTCATGCAGCTGCTGCACCTGGGGCCTTACGAATGCTACCAGTGCTCATAGTGACTGGCTTGATTCACATTTAGGTATGGTGTTTACTGTTGCTTTTGCACTGTTGGCACAAGTATCAATATCAATACAAGGAAGAAGGTAAACAACATTTAATATCATTATGAAAATAACATGGACCCTCTGGAACCCATGGGGTTCTGCAAACCTTAATTTGATAACTGCAGTTTGAAATGATTTGGAAATTTAGAATAAACATAAGACAACGTAAACACACAAAAAAAACTCAACAATGATAATTTTGTAGGTTAATACATCCAAAAAAATAATCAAATATTCAATATAAAATACGAATAAATAGAAAACATCTTCAAATGCAAAACCTCAGAAAATAAAGCAGAACAGACAAACTGTTTGAACTTCAACAACAATGCAACATTCTTGGTTTACAAAAAGAGGCAAGGTTTAGAAAGTATAGCCAGCTGTGGTGGCACACATCTGTAGTCAAGGGTACTAAGGGAGGCTGAGGCAAGAGGATTCTGAGCTGGAGGGCAGGGTTGGCAACTTAGCAAAACTCAATTTCAAAAAAAAAAAAAAGTGTTTTTACATGACTTGAACTCTGAGATATTGAGAGAGCTAAATTTGACTTCTTCCCATAATGCTATGCTATTTTAGAAATAACACCAGCCTGTAAATCGAAAGACTAATACAGTGAATTATGATCTCACAGAATTAGAAGTTGGTAGCAAAGTTTAAGAAGGGCTAAGCAAAACGTTGCAAATATTTTTTAATAAAACCACTTCTGGAATACTACTTTTATTTGCAAGCCATTTCTAAAATTATTTTGTTCATTTTATCTGGAAATAACCTTATCAAAAAATATGTAAAATTTTAAAGATGAAGAAATAGATTCAAAGAGGTAAAGAGATTTCTGCAAAGGCACTTAATATCATATCTCCTCTGAGGAGAAGCCTATCTTCAGATCCCTAACTAGTGTGTTTCCTTCACGAAATAAGCTTAGAATTTTCACTTTGTGAACTTTCATTGCCACAAAACTGGAAGCCAAAAGCATCTTTGACCTCTATCCATAGAAGGTTTTTTCGTGTTGTGACCACTCTACTTAGACAATTTTTTTTTTTTTAATCCTTGCAGGCTCAGCTGTGGCTCAGTTTTAAACTAGTCTAAACATATTATCTACCTTTTGATGTTTAGTAGTGCAATGCTATGGACATGTTGAAACTACCAATAGAGAATTATTGAATCAAAATAGAAACGAAGTAGGAATAATTTATATAAGGGAAGCGGGTGGAATGAGTTCCCCTGTAAGAATGATCCAGAGGACAACAGAGAATCACACACCACAGAGCGCCTGACTGAAGTTATTTGAGACATAGAATGTGTGACTAGAAAGCCTGCACTATTGTTGGTTAGCGAGCCTAATGACTGTTCCCCACAAGGCTGGGAGCTTGAAAACTCAAAAAGTATCAATCATCCTTTCTTAAGTTCTGGTCCCAAAGGAGCCATGCTGTGACAGTGGGTGGCAATAACTGTGGTTAACAAAACAGCCAAGCCATTTCCCCCCAGAAACGTGCAAAGACCTTCCTAATACACATTCTATATGACAATGTTTCTTGAAAAGAAGAAATCAGATTTTTGCACATTGATCATTATTAATTTCTCTCAGGAAGAAAATTCCTTAGTGTAGATGAGGCGATAAGATGGAGAAATGTTCAGATGACTATAAAGGTAAAAAATAAAACTTCAATTTGCTTAAAATTCCATCAAGGCCAGAAAGCTATGTCTTTTGGTCATTTTGTATTTCTGATTAATGGGATTTGTGATGTAAATGGCTTTGAAATTAACCACAAACCTGAAGGAACTTTGAAAGAACTATGGTGTTAGAAATTTGGCAAATTAGAGAAAGTCTACTATTACTATGTCCTTGTTCTTTTCCTATTTTTCAATAAATTCTATTATATTCCAAAAAATTGGCAAATTATTTCTAGAATATCCAAAGGGAGTTTGTTTACTTTCTGCTCAAGAGTAAGTATAATGTAGGTCATATATCATAATCTAGCAGTTAACTATAGGCTATCACATATTGGTATTTCTTTCTCATCCTAACTCCTGCTTATTTCTGCTTATCCAAGAAAATAGTAAAATTAATCCATGTTTTAGACTTTGCATGCTCTCTTGATAGGTAATAGACAGATGTGTGCAGCAGAACATGTATTTAAGGGAAGAATTCTATAATGTGACCCCACTGTGCTGACCTCTGGATGCTTTATTTAAAAAGAAATTTACCTGCAGCCCTGCCTAGATTAAGTCACTAGGATATATTACATTGCTCAGCAAACAACCTGTAATCCCCAGGCTTGAAATGCTAATAAGAAGAACAAGGTTATCCTATCAATTTTGTAACCAATCCACAGACCACTTACTCCCTGAGTGCTAAAACTCAGGGAGATCAGAATAATTCCCTTAATCATAAAATCTGTAAGTACAGATTTCAGTTAGAACTAGTCAGCATGGACCAAAGTGACCTAGAATTGCCCTGGACCTTTTACATGCACAGTAGGGACTTAGAAGTTTGATGCAGTCTTGCTGTCAATCAAAAATCTAGAAGTGGACCTGAGTGGGACTCTCTGGAATCCTCCTTGGCACCCCCCAATAATACTGGAAGGCAGCAGGATTAGGCCCTCCTTTCCTTTCAAAGGACCCACTCTCTCCCTAAGTCACTTTTTCCATCCCTTCTAATAAAGTTTGCTATTCTTTTCTCAAGTCTCCAGTCTTGCCTGGAATCCTCTCAGCCAAGAAAAGAATTCTGAGTAGGGACTGCTGCTTTGTTCCGGCTCTGCCAGTGGTAGGTCACCTCTGCAAAGTTATGACTGCATGCCTCTTAAAGATTGGAATCTTGCTCCATGCATTTACATTCTCAGTGTTTTCCTTTCATAGCAGTCTTAAAATTGAATGAAACTGAAGCCATTTTCTATTAATCAGGATCCAATAATTCATTTAGGAATTAACAAAAATGGTTTATGCTCAAATTTGCCAGCTATTTTAAAACATTTTTAAACAGCCTTTATTAAATAATATTCCTCATACAGCTACTACTACCTCCTACTACAACTTTAAAGATAACTAATACTTACTTAGAGTTCATATCTTATTAAGAGCTATGATAAATACTTTCTAGGCATTATCTTATTTAAAGTAATAAGAACTCTATAAGGTAGGTATTATTTTGCAAATTAAAAAACTAAGGTATACAGAATTTGAGTAATAGCCACAAAAATGAAGACCTGAAAAGCAGACTCATATATGTACAGTCTTGCTCTAAAGCTTGCCCTATTGTTTCTCATTAAATATAGCATCAGAAAAAACTTTACAACTGCCACACAAATATCTCTATTCTTAGTTTTATTTCCTTCACTCCAATTTTATATCACTTTGAGTATACATTTGATACTTACTTTTTCAAGAACTCTTCCCTACAAAAATTGTACTGGGTGTTCTTTGAGATCCCTTTGCATTTACATCTTCAATGTACATATAATAGCTTGGAGTGACAAGAAAATTGGGTCAAATCTCATCTTATTTAACATATCTAAAACTGTTTCCTGATCTGTGAAATGGGATCATAATACTAATTTATTATAGAGTTGTTATTATAGAACAGGAAATATTCTGTTCAAAACAGGGTTTAGCATATATTGAGGTGGACACTCATTAATTTGTCCTAAAAGCTACAATTCTTCCATGTTTAGGCTCCTCTCCTAAACACACACATGAATTCAATTTAAGCAAATTAAAGTTTCTGTATTGCTATCAAATATTACTTAGGCTACAGAAATAGTCCATATGCTAATTTCTGATGGACTATACAAAATCTATTGCCTAAGAATTAGAAATTGGAATTGAGAGATGTATTTATTCTCTTTGTGTGCACCTGGATTTTTATCGTCTTTTCTGTCTCTCTTAGGATGAAAATGAGAAAATTAGTCTGCTATTTAGTAGCAGAGAGAATTGAAGAAGCTTTCCAGAGATAACATATCTGAGATGCAGAGAGAGTTTAGTCAACACACTAGGGCTAATTTTAATCTCTTCTTACATTTTTGCTATGTTAATGTTTATTTGAAAATTCCTCTTTTCTAGCTAATGTCATCCTTAATATTTGGAATATAAAGGAGAACACTGAGAATATTATTCTTTCTAGTTGAAACTGGTTTTAGTAGCTTTAAGTTATTTGAAATAACAAATTGAAAGTTGTCCAAATGTACTTGTGTGTGAAAACTGCTAATAAAATTCCAGGGATTATGGTTAATCATATGATTTAAAAATATTCTTCATATATTTATTCACCATCTATAGCATGCCAGGCAATGGATTTGATATTGGGCATTGGATGGTAATTCAAATAGACATAGTCGTGGCTCTATCAAGGAAAGTCAATAAAATGAAATGTGGTCAGTGCTTTGATAAGGGAACTGTAGTACTCTCTAAAGCAGTCAGCAGGGACGCATGATCTAATGAAGATGGAAAGGAAATTCCTTGATTAAGAAGCTTTGAGGCTGAGGTCTAGAGTGGGGTGATAGAGTATGTACTGTAGAAAATAGAAAAGAAAGTAAGTGGAAGATGGCAAAGAAAAGCAACAACATTGACAATAAAAACAGTGGATTTAGGAACTGGGAGAAGTTTAGTGTGTCTAGAATTTAGAGCAGGGGAAGGCAAACTTTTTCTCAAAGGGTCACAGAGTAAGTGATTCAGGCTCTGTGGGCCTTAACATCTGTGCCAGGACTGCTCAACTCTGCCTCTGTAGCAAAGGCAGTCAGAGACAATATAAAAAACCAAGCACGTGTTCTATTCTAGTGCTCCAGTAGAGCTCACTGCATAAAACAGGCAGCTGGTCTGAAAGCCCCTGATTTAGAGGCTGGTGACCACATTGGTACAATGAGACCTGGTAACAGAGCACTTGGAAGTTATGATATAAAGTAAAGACTGTCATGAGGACAATATACAGCAACTGGTTAGTATTAAGTCGATGTAAAAAATATTATTCATATTTTAAAATAGTCTCAGAATAAATACAGGACTGGGAAGCAAAGTGGATATGTGAATGTATGGAGAAGTTGGAGGGAGCTGGGAGTATCTAAGGGGCAAAAAAGCAGTACCTGAACAATGCAAAACAGGTGACAGTGACAGATGCATGTGATGCTCAGGAGGCAAAAGTGGTACAGTGTGGTGAGTGCTGAGCCCTTGGATCTAAGGGCAAGGGAGCAGTTGAGGGCAACACACAGTTTCAAGACTGCCATTTGGGAGGGTGGTATTTCCTTCATGACACAATACACAGAGAAGAGCCTCCAAAGAGGAGAGATATTTACAAGGCATGGAATTTGAAGCATAATCAACAAATATTCCTGCAAGTTTCCATGAGATATGACTATCTCATACTGAAATATGTAAGGTAGACAAAGTCTGGATAGGGATACATGTGATTCTGTGTTGTGATGTAATGTCAATAAACTGCTCATAATGTCTACTTCTGCTTCTAGACATTGTGGCCATTATGTTAGATTTGGGAGCCATCACCCTACACTGCAGGCAAGCATGGTAGCTTGTGGTGTGAAGGCAGACTCAAATAAGAGAACCTTAACAAGCATCCTTTGCAGCAACCTCATGTGAGTGGTCAGCAGAGGAGCCAGATAGGGAGTAAGAGAACCACAGCAGTGTGACATCAAGAAAGAGGAGGAAGAGAATGCAGAAGGGAACACTCCAAAAACACTTCCAAAGCTGAGTATTTTTTTACCTTTTATTTTTTCATTTTTATTTTATTGGTTCTTCTTAGTTATATATGACATTAAAATCCATCTTGATAAAATTATAGAATCATAGGATATATCGTATTCTAATGAGGACCCTGAGCATGATGGTGGGGTATACTTAGATAGAGTCATATGTGTTCATAGGAAAAATATGTTAGATTTATTCCGTTCTCTTTCCTATTCCTATCCCTCTTTCTTTTCATTCCCCTTTGTCTAATTTAATAAACTTCTCTTCTTCATCTTTCCCCCTTTATTATGGTTTAGCTTCCACATATCAGCAAAAATTTCAACCTTTGGATTTTTGGGGATTGGCTTATTTCATTTAGCCTGGAATTGTCCAGATCCATCCATTTACTGGCAAATGTCATAAAGTCACTCTTATTTAAGGCTGAGTAATATTCCATTGTGTGTATATTCTACAATTTATTTATCCACTCCTCTGTAGATGGGCATCTAGGTTTGTTCCATAGCTTAGCTATTGTGAATTGTAATGCTATAAACATTGATGTGGTTATGTCACTGTAACATGCTGATTTATTTATTTTTTTTGGATATATGCTGAGGAGTGGGATAACTGGGTCAAATGGTGGTTCCATTCTTAGTTTTTTGAGGAATTACTGAGAGAGCTTTTTAACTGCCAATTTTTAAAATGTTACATTTACTCCCTATTTCAAGTAGAATCAGAATTCAGAAATTTGCTTTCATAAAAATAAAAGTAATCACTGAGAACAATTTTTATGAGCCCTTTGGGGTTCTTGGAATAATTTCTTCAAGAAGTATAAGCCTGAAAAATCAATAATACAAACTTTGAGATCTATTTAATATTTTATCCTCCACTAATGGGAATGCTGTATATGTGTGCTATAGAGTAGGAGTCAAGCTAAGAAAAAAAGAATACTCATGGATTACTGCATAGTTTCAAATAATCATAGAAAAGAGAGGTAGGCATAAAAGCTACATATTAGGGATAAAGAAAGGAGATTATATGAGAAAATTAAAATTGAGTAGGAGAAAAAGGTTCATGTGGAGAATCATGTGAGGCAATGTCACAATATTAAAGTAGTGCCCCAGAAATCTGTGTTAAACAAAAATCAATTATGAGTTTCAAACTTTCCAAATGTTTACACAAACATACACATCTGTATTTGCACATATCTATGTATACTTATGTATGTGTATGTTTGTGAGATAAATATATGTCATATTTTCTGCATATGTGTATATATATGTGTGCATATACAATGTATATATTCAAAGTACAAATGCATAAATACATAATTCTCCACTACTGTTTGGTATATTTTTAGTTCCATAAGAGCAAAGCCTACATCTATCCCATTCACCATTGTATGCTTGAATTATACATAGCAATTATTCAGTAAGTATCTGAATGAATAAATGAATGTATAACCAGGATATTGTACAGTTTTTAAAAAGTCATTGTCCTAGGTTTCATAATTTGACATAGGATTAACCCAAAGTAGTCTTGACTACAATTTAGAATATCTGTTAAAGGACTTACCCAACCAAAAAGCTTTAAAAAAGGAAAGCAAAACATGAAAAGCCTAAAACCAACCTTGGTGCTATGAATGTATAGCCAGATTCTTCAAAGTTATCTGGCTTCAGGGTTTCGGAATCTGCAAAGATAATGTCACAGATTAAATAAACAACAAGTACCCATTCCAAGATTCTATGACAATAAGAATGCATTAAAAAGATTACCTAGTAAGAAAAATTTAAAAATAAAAACAGACTACTTACATCCAAAAGGTGAAACAAATTAAAAACCATAAAGGTCCTTAATGCTTCCCAATATAGAAATAATGCCATATCATGGATTTACTTAACTACCTGATTACAACAGTTATACCAGATAAAATGCAGTCTACATTTTTCCCATTTACTAACCACAGTATAATCAAATATCTTTTAAAGAAAACTTCATATCAATGTTACATTAAGTATTTTATTTCAAATAAAAATAGAAAAAGTTTACCAATATTATGATACAAAAATGATTTTAATAAACTTAATGTATTTAGTCAATTAATAACATTATTCATTTTAGGTATGAATTAGTAAGTAGAAGGATAAAAAACACAATTTTAATTTTATGAAAAAACTTGAACATGAGACAGGTTGCATATGAAAACGCAAGCATATTCTTCCCCATTTTTGCTGCTAAGGTTTGAGTGACTGTGGAGGAGAATCTAGCAAATGAGAAGCACAGAGGATAATATCCAGTAGGAATGGAAATATCAGTGGAAATGTCAAGTGTACTTAAGAGAAAGAAACTGAGCAACAAGAAAATACTTGCCCTTCATTTTGCCCTTTTTTGCTGTGAAAATCCATCAGAAAGAGAAAGCAGGGAAACAAAAAAAAAAGAGGGTAAAGCAAAGGGGGTCACAAACAATATTTTATTCAATGACTTTCTTGAATAAAAATATTGTGCATAGATCAAAGGTTCATTTATGTACAGCTGTAGTCTGGAAAAAAAAAAAAGACATTTTTGAAGGCTGGAAGGTATGTCCTGGTAATTTTACTAGATTACCCTTTCTGTACTGTGGTTATTTCAAGGGTCTGTTTTGCGAAGTGGTTAATGCAGGTGCAAATACCCAAGATATCAGCCTATTAATGGAAGCACTTACCAATCATCAAGGACTCACTAGTTATCCCTCATTTGTCAAGTGAAGGACTAGCTCATGCAAAATTGCTGGTTGTTAAAAGACCATCATATCTATTAAGTGAAAGTGCAAATATAAATTTATAATATACCACAATATTCTATGAACACCAGGCCTGTAGAGGTTAAAAAAAAAAGATCCAATAGAGAAATGAAGGAAACTTTAGTTTATTCTCAAGCCAGATGTTACAAAATATATTCTATATACATATTTTTTTCTTAATCCTAACAGAAAAAATTTAGGTTGTTAATAATGAATGAACAGTATGCAAAGGATATGATGGTCATTTTACTTTACTAAATCTAGTCACCCCAAACAAAGATGAACAATGACTGGAAATATGCACTAGTGTTCATAATTACTCCACATTCCAAATGATGCTCATTAAAAAAAAATCAGTTTGAGTTACTGAGACATTAATTTGGATTATGGAAAGAAAGTTAATTGCCAAGCACAATATTATTCTAGCCAAAGGCAACAGAAAAAAATAAGTGAAAGGAAAGATAAGAAAAGGAAAAGCTTTACTAGCACAGAGCCATGAGTAGAGACCATGTTGATAATTAGCATGTGAAACATTGTACATCAGCTAGCAGACCCTTAAAACGACAGCAACAGAGGACACAGCACTGCAATGATTCTATGAGCACATAGCAAGGCAGGGAAGGGTGGTGGGGACTGCCAGTGAGACTGGAGTACCTGCTCATATTCTATCCATGTAGAATATTTCTTGTTCCTTGCATGTTTGGAATGGGTTAGAATCATTGCTGTAGATTTGGTAATAACACCTACTAAAATATATAAGCCTTGGGTATTCCAAAATCTAGACGTATTTAAACATCTGAGACTAGGAGATAACAAATAGACCCTGACGTGGCTTTCACAGTACTTACATCTGGCCTGAGTTATTGTCTCTTCTATTTTGGCTTTTATATAGTAAAAACTGTAGGTTGGTAATACCAAGGCCAAACTGCAATAGAAACAAGAGAAGCATAAACACAAACAAACAAAAATGAAACATAACTTAAAAAAAAAAAAGACACATCAAGTTCATGGGAAAATCCAAAGATCTTCCTCATGGGAGGGAAAGGACATATTACTTTGACAAGAAAATGCATTCAGCAAATAGAGTACTTAATTTTGGTCTTGCCATCCAGAGTCATCCAACTTTCTATATTGTAGGGAATCAGGAGACATGTGGAAAATAAGCTAACAAATTCATCCATAAATTAGCTGAGGAAGGAATGTCATGGGGTTCCTACTATATTTTCAGACAATTATTTTAAAATACTTTGAATTTTGACAAAAACAGATTACTGAGAGTATTTTTATTAAGTAAATAGACCATACCAATTGGTTACTCCTCATCAATGTATTTATATGGTGTTCAAATGTTTTATACCAAATAGATACATACCATTAAAAAATATAGATGGAAGAATTATTATTGTTACTATTGTACAATGTATAAGGTCATCTGAAATATATTATTTTTAGGGGTTAAATATCTACTATTTTAAAACTCTAATCTTTGGGCAAGTTTTCCAGTGTTTGCTGGTGGGCAAATTCAGATCCATTGTAGCACTAATAGATATTAACTGCTTGTTCCATTATTTCTTACCCAATTGTACAACTAAATTCATTTACTGTGGATATTCCAAATGATTTGGTGGATTTTTGTTAGACACAAAGGGAAATACATTCTAAATTCAGTAGCTTATGAGATTTAAAGAGTTCCTTTAGTCTCATGGTAGATGTCCCAATGGGAAGATAGTTTTAGGGCAAATTTTAAGTCAAATTCAGAATGTTTTAGACACAAAAAATGTAAACTAGCCATTTATCCAAAATTGCCTTAATGACTGTTCAAAATAAAACATTGTTAGGCAAAGTAACATTTCTCAATTTGAAATAAACAATTAATAAAACATGACATTTTAGAACTATTATAAGTTCAAAATATGCAATTTCTAATAATACAACTTTTTATGTATAAAATGATTCTACTCTCATACTAGCTAACACCCATATGTGGAACATACATAATGATCCTATATCCCCATTTGCAGTTACAAATGACTTTTGCTATGCTCTGAATATAGAAAGGAAACTTGTAAGCTAAAAGTATAAAAAATGAGGGTATCTCTAAGAGGCCCAACATAACCACTTTCTAAAAGTAAAACTTGATTAATATGACCAATTGAGTCACTGACATACATTTTTAACATTTACTCCAAATTTTAGTAATACACAGGAAAAGGTGTACATTCTAGGCTTTTGAGCATTTTTTGGCACTTCCAGATCCTTGAAGTCACTCAAATCTCATGTATCACCAGCTTTGGAAAAATCTAAACTGTAATCTCATTTATGTGTCATTTGTGGACAATATGGAGTAAAACTAAGTATAAATTTTCAGATTTTTCCTTCTTATGAATATAAATATTAAAATTGTCCTTTATAAAAAGGAAAAAATACAAGAGCCTACTTGCTTAAATTTAATTATGCAATAAAGATAGCAAAATAAGTGGATGTTTGTTACTTCTGATTCCCAAATCTTTCACCATTGTTAAGTAATTTATAAGACTTTCCTTACAGGAAAAGGTCAGGGAAATAAAATGTTATGTAGATTTAATGAAAATTTCTATATTCATTTCATAGGTAACTTCAAGTGGAGGCAGAGATTAAAATTAAAATAAGCAGCGAAATCAGTCTGAAAGCAAGATGACCTTTCGTGATTCACTTGCCATTTAGAAAATGTAGAGTGGAATTACTGAGCATTTGAAGATTGTCTCCTACAAATTCCTCTCAAGGGAAATTAGGACATTTTTATTGCTCCATCAGCCTTATTGCTAAGAGAAACTTCTAATTAAAACCAATAATGTTATATCATGCGACTGCTACAGTGTCACTCTATAAGCTTGCGTTACATCTCATGTACCACAAAATAGTGTGGGAATTCAAGAGGAACACCATAAATGTTTTAAAATTGGTATATCAAATATACATTTTATTGGCCTGCAAGACTAATGCTGTTATCCAGAGCTACAATTCTTTCTATAGAAAAAGTGTTATACTTTATCTTCAACTCAAGCCAACAGTTATTTCTTCCACATAATGCCAGATAAGATCTTTACAAACATACAGAGTCAATGGTGCTATCATACACAGTACTTGCTGTCTCTCCCCATATAAACCCAATAAACCAAGACAGCTTTATTTCCTCTTGGAGATTAAAGTTCAATAAAGCAAGTGGCCACCAGATGGATGGTTGAGCCCATGTAACATTTATGTGCCCCATAAACACAGTTAACAGAGTTAAATAGAATATCACAAACACTTTTCAAGTCAATAATCTATGTCAAAGTAAACTTTATTAAAAAGAGAAGGCTTTCTATTAAAACAATTAAATTACTATAATACAGAAGATGGTACCTAACTTGGATCAAAATTTATGGAGCCAGAAATTACCTTTCTGAAATTTGGTATCTCATTCATTAAATCAAAACATATCTTTTGTTCAACTCAGATGTGATATTTTGTTCTAAACTGCTGCTTGTGAATTTGTCTAGAAATTCAGGGAAGTGTTTATAACAGGAGTAGATTCAATTTAGCCCAGAATTAGAGACTTGGAAAAGAGAATATATGAGGAAAACATGCCAAAGTGAAAGAATCAGGGCCTCTTTGGAGAAAAACGAAATGTATAATAATGGAAATCACAGAAGTGACAGGGAAGAAAGCTTAGTGTGAAATGTGTGATAGGTATATCAGCCTTGGAAGTCTAAATGTGATATTTTGTGAACAGGGAAAGACAATGAATTTGAGGAAACATTAACCTGCCCACACTTTGTATTATTCCTGAGCATTGAGGGAAAGGTTAGATAGAGTGTAGAAGCCATTTGTGAGATAATTTCACCTTCAGCCAGGGTATAAGAAAAATTTTAAAAACCCCCAAAGTGTTCTTATAACAGCAGTAGAACCAACCACCATGGTTGCCTCATTGTCAGCGACAAAATGGCGCAGAATTCCTAACGCAGATCTGGTTCACCTGAATAACAGAGCACAGTGCACATTCTCACTCTCAAGAGACAGGGCTCCCTGCTGCCTTCTCCACACCTTTTAGTGAGTTTATCCAAAAACTGAAAAATGGCAATAATTGAGAAAGAGGGAGGAAAATGAATAATATGTATATGTGTATGAAGATTGTGTAAATGTAAAGAGATGCCTAGATAAAAATTAGAGATAGGAATTAATAGACTGAAATAAGTAAAATAATTAAAATAGTCATTCTAGTGTTTCTTAATAAATCCTAAAATGTGTCAAAACCAAGAAAAGGAAGAAGGACTGGCATGTGCCATGTGAAGACATTAATATGTATGTTCTTCTCTTCTATATCTACTGTATATACCATTCTAGGAACAAAGAGACAGGTTTCTATGATAACAACATTTAGCTTTAGAAATATTCCCTAGCACTCTTGGCTCCCCTTAAAGATTATGTGTATATTATGAGGAGTTGGAAAGGAACGGAATATAAAAAGAAATACTTGAGGTCACCACAGCCTATTAGTTAGGATACATGTTAATTGCACAGAAATATGTCATAAGAGACTTTCATGTTTCGTTACTGCAATGGAAGTTTTGGACATCATTATATGAATCTGACAGAATGAGACAGACTGGAAATTTCTCTGATTAAATTTTTGTCAACTTCAAATAGAAATTCTTCAATTCTGGACATATTTATAGAGTGCCTACTATATGCCACTGTCGGAAAGCTGATGATTCATAAGACACAGGGAAAAGTCATTGCCCCTTAGAACTTAGTAGTAAAAGAGGACAAATGAGAATCAAGACTATCACTGGTTGCATTGGCACATGCCTGTAACCCCAGTGACTAGGGAGGCTGAGACAGGAGGATCGCAAGTTCAAAGCCAGCCTCAGCAATGGTGAGGCACTGAGTAACTCAGTGAGACCCTGTCTCTAAAGAAAATACAAAATAGGCCTGGGAATGTGGCTCAGTGGTTGAGTGCCCCTAAGTTTAATCCCCAGTAACCCCTTCCAACAAAAGAGAATATCATTATATGTATTATATGGCTCATGTATATGTGCCTGTGTTTAAAGTAAAAGATGACAGGGTTATGGAAAACACAAAGCAGAGGAAGGAGACATGGAGTATGGTGAGGCACTTACCATTTTAATTAGGATGGTTGGAAAAGGACTTTCTGAGGAAATGAAAAGTAAGCAATAACATGAAGATGAGGATATAAGCATATGGTCTATCTAGGAAAAATCATGTGGGGCAGAAGTCACTTCGGGAACAAATGCAATGAGACAGAAGAGTGCCAGTGTTTATGAACAGCAACAAGGGGGACAGTGTGGCTTAACCAGAGCATGTGCAGTGGACAATGATTTAGAGAGGTGGCACTGAGTGAGATCCATGGTTTAGGGCACCATGGTGGGCTCTGGAAGCTACACCAAATGAGACAGTAAATTATTGGGAGGTTGTGAGTAGGGTACAATTGTTTTCAGGTGTTAAGCTCACTCATTTTAGTGTGTTGAGAATATCAACAGGAACAAAAACAGAGGTCCAGATGTAAGCAGCTATGTACTGGCAGGGGAGTGGGAATTCTTTCCATTTCTATTTTCACAGTAATGGAAGCAAAGACACCACCCAAGAAAAAATGGATGAGGAGTATTATGGGTTTGAAGAAAAAGAAGAAACTGTCATCAATCATCTATAAGCACCCTATATTTCCTGGATTATTGAGAACCCCAGGCATTATTAAGGCCCACTTGAGATAAGTGTTCACCAATTTTAGGTGATATGGGTTTGTAAATACTTTGCTTCAACCATTTTTAGTGAAGTGTGGTTATAATTGAACTTAACCAGAATTGGTATTTTGTCAAACCTGAAGGAAGTCTGATAAAGGGACTTGGGCTGGGGTGTGTGCAAGAAAGTGAACATAGGATCCAAGGAATTTCTGTTAAATAAAGAGGGTCACAAGGACAGTGGAAAGAGAGAAGGGATTGCTGGGTTTCTTATCTCAATTGAGACAAAGGATTGCTGTCATCAGGTTACTTGTGAGAGGGGTGGAAATCTAGAAAGTGATAATCAAAGGTTGGATGAAAACATCTCCATTAGATTATGAAGGAGTTGCAGATGATACTATAAGAGCTATGGAACCTGACTTTGGAATAAATGGGTAAGGCTGAGGATGACAATATCAGTAGAGGACAGGAGGGAAAAAACGGAAGTTTGGGCACCAGAACACTCATCTATATAAATACTACTTGAAATGTAGTGCATAGACCTAGCTAATTTGCAAATAATTATTATCCCATGAACAGAAAAATACAGAAATTGAAAGTAAATATTTAGGAAATTTTACAGCAATTTGACAGGCTAACTCTGCCTGTGGAATCTAATGATAAAATTTACAGCTTGTACTTTTAAACTGCTTTGAAATTTTTGTTTTACTTTATGCCAGTGTCCATATGTTATAATAATTTGAAAAATACTGATCTATATGAATGTAGGAGAGACTGATAATGAGGCAATCTTATAGGAATAAGAGGGAGACAACTGCTAAACAGAGAAAGGTGGATAGTGTAGTCTGGTGACATGAGATTCAAAGATGAGAGTTCCTTTTAATGAGGAAAAAAAGAGAGAAGGAGTAACAAGAATGATGTACTCATATAAACCTCAGTATTATGAGGATGCAGGGAGCCAGGCCAGAGGGAAAGCAGTGAGCTGAGAGGGGAATTGAAGTGAGAAAGTGAAGGAAATGCTCAGCAGGTTTGGAGAAAGGGAGGAATCTTCCAAGCGATGATCAGGGATTAGGCTGTCTAATTCTCCAAGCTCAGCTAATGGGATAGATCCTGATATTAATGAACTGTTATTCAGTGGGAGCAAATTACATCAACTAAGTCTTTTATAACAGATGCTATGAGGAGAAAATAAGCTGTACTTTTAGGTTAATTTGCAACTTAAATGCAAGTAAAATAAGCAAAATCCCAACTTAAAAGAGGAAGTCAGTGGAAGTGACAGCTATAAAATATTATGGGGATTTTTGTCAACATTTATCAGTAATATAATTAGACAAAAAAATACAGATTTAAAACATATGTTTTTATTGACAGATTTTAATATTGCTAGCTTTCCCCATCTTTTCTATCTTGAAAAATCAGGTGCTATAACTTTAATACATTTTTACGTTGGTGAGAGAATAACTTTCTATTGGAAATCACATTAAAAACAGCTTATGAAAATGCAAAGACAATATTCATCCATTGAAATTGTGGCAACTAAAAACTAGAAAAAGGCATTGAACATTATTTTTCCATAATACACATATAAATGTAACTAATTACCTGTAATCTGTGCCATTGACAGGTGTCCATGTGTATGTCCTGTTTCCTTTATCAATATATCTCTAGAAAAAAGTTTGACTTCATCATTATCAACTCATATCTTCATGAATTCATATGAAGAATGGAGTAATAATATTTACTTATAAATTCTGCAGTCATTCACAGCCTTCTTCATAAATGTATGATAGAATCTATCCTCAATTTATTTTTTCCATTATGGGTGTATGTTTGAGAGAAAATAAAAATTTTAGAACAGAAATAAGTATCCAGATGATACAATTTAAGGAGTTAAAAAGTATTAGATCTTAACAGTTTATGCCAAAGAAAAAGAAAACCTGAAAATATTTTCTGAAAACTGAAGTTTAATAATGAAAAAGACCACGACTCAGATATAGTTTAGAGTGAATAGGAATATCAGGAAATGAATGTCATCAGTGTGTCTAGATCCAAATTAGTATATTATTACTGTTCTTATTAAGCTTTAATTATGGTATTACTATGGTTTGTTAAGAGGCTAATTACTTGATGTTACTGAAGGTTAGGAAGACACCTAATCTACTAGAGAAAGGAAATGCCGAGTTAAATAACTTCACGGATATAAAATCTTTCATATGCAGCTATTGAGTAATGGTATAAAGACATTCTCGATCTTTCTTCCTTTAGGTACAGTGATGGCACATATTCGACTTTTAATTTTGTCAATTATCTCCAGCTTTATTATCCTCACCATATTAAAAATTTTGTGGAAGGGTTATTCAGCATTATGCACCATGCTAAATATCTTACTGTCATTTATCTCACTTACTCAAACCCCAGGAGTAGATCTTATTTCTCATAATTTATTGATCAAGAAATAAGCCTTAAGAAGGAGATAATGCACTTACATTTTCAGGGTTAAGAAAAATGTCTGAGGCCAAATCCACTTTTATAATGACTATTTAATTTTGCTTTTATACATCAAACCCTCCTACTGCTCTGTGTGGGTGTGTGTGCACGTGTGTGTAGGTGTATGTACGGTGGATGGAAGGATGGGTGGACAGGATTAATTTGAAAATGTTTACAAATTAATTTGAGACAAGTGTGGGTAAAAACTATTCAATAAATCAGATAAGAAGAAAGGCTCTGTGGGAAACATTTCACATGTAAGGAATTTTAAATTATTTGTGACTCATAATGCCAGACATTTTGAGATGTGCTGTGTTTTCAATCTCACAAAAATGGAAAATGGTGTCAAGAAAAATTACATGATTTCCTACAACAAAAGAGAATGAAATTCACAGTCACTTCTCAACTGATATACTCATTCACAGGGTAAACAAATTTTCTTTAATTGAATATACAAAAACCTGGAGGGCGTTTATATTGTAATTGAAGTTTAACAGCTATATCTGCTTTTAATCACACATTCAAGGAAAAAAAATCTAAAATTTTAAAGATTTATAAGTGGAAATTAGTCAAAGAAAGGAATATGCAATAATATGAAGGAGGAAAAATATCAATGTAAGTAAATAGAATGAAGATAACTTGGTAAGCTGAGGAAAGAATGTGCAGGTCACAGTTCTTGGAACAACACAGAGAGGTGAGGGGTACTGTTGAGTAGTTTACATCCTTCATGCAGGGAGTGAAAGGGAAAAGAGCATGGCTAAAGTCTAAGTCAATACTGAGTAGATAGCTCAATAAAGACTGAAGTTTATATATACCTCCTCAGGCTCTGGTAAGAGGGACTCATAATGATATTAAAATGAGAAAAGCCATGTGCTAATGAAGGACCACATTTAGAACCTAGGTCCATCTTTGGAAACATCTGCTGAGGAATTGGAGAGAATCTGGGAAAAAAGTATGAGATTTCAGAGGGACGGATATAATTTATATATAAAAGCTAAAGTTAAAGTTCCAGGCACAAAAGCCTCTGAGTCCTATATATTTTTGAGATACTCAAATATATGAATGTCCTTTTTCATTCCACATGACTGATTAATGGTTAGCTATTCCTTATCCACAAGAGATCTTACATACAAACATAAAGAAATATAAGTTTAGTAAATAAGTCAGTGATAAATGAGGTCGTTTGTGCTAGCTCATATTTTAATTTCAGATTTAAATGCAGAAAATCTATAAATAGTAAAAACAGAGATAAGTCCAACTACAAACAAGTAAATGAAAAACAAAAACACAAAACAACATACAGAACACAACAATTAGAATGTCTGTATGCATAAATCATAAAACATACAGCTTTTCAATATTAACTTCAATTTTCATTGTTGCTAAAAACAGCACAACATTAAGTTGTGTGTTTTATTTCTTATAATGATAAAATATACAGGCATCAAATATAGCTTTCAATGATTTAAAAAAATATATATATAGCAAAAAACTTACAGCGATATTATTTCAAAAAATATTTTGAAAAGAGTTGAAAATATCTTAGTAAAATATTCCCCTAGTTAAAAAGTGTCTTAAAAGAAAAATTTTCATTAGAAACTTCCTTGTTATATAAGTAAATACCAGATTAGCAGAAAGGAAAGACAAATTCTCAAGATCGATTATTATTAACACATACTTTAAGAATACAAAAGAATGAATTCTTACCTCATCTTGAGATTTAACCAGAGTTCTGAAGGTTTTTTCTCCACTTTCTCCATCTATCATTTTATTTCGAATCTAAGGGAAAATGAAACAACTACTTTATTCCAGGAACCAAGCAGACCTATTGAAGTATGATTATATTCATTTTTGAATGTTTTTCCTTATTTTGAACAGAATGAATATAAATGGTAGATTGGTTTGACTATTAGTTGCAGTTGTTCTCTGGGAATTATTTTTTAAAGTTGTCAAACTCTGATCATTTTATATCATTTTAAAATAACAAAAGCACCTGAAATAAATTTTTTCAACCAGTCATTAATTTTTGAAACATAATTAGTAAAAAAAAAAAAAAAGTAGTCAACTGTCTTATAGGCTGGCTACATTTACATGAAAAGTTCTCATTGAGAAAGAGAAATGCATATGCATTTACAGAATTAGCATGTACTATGGAATATTTCAAATTTCAACTTCACCTAATCAGATTTATATGAGAAAGAATTTTTTAATTTTTATTAGTGCATTATAATTATGCAGACAATGACATTAATTTTTATATATTTGAACAGGTACAAAATATAATAATATAAATCTGTAAATTTTATTTCCCAATACTTTTTATCCTTATTCAGTTTCCATTTGTCATCTCCGACAGTACAAATACAATATAAGTAAGGGATAGAGAGACTTATAAAAACCTACTGGGATTTAATAAGACACAGTTTAGCTTCCTTATAGGCAATTTCCCAAATTTTAAAAAATGAATTAGGTCACATTAATTTACAAAATATTCATCTACTGGAAATTATCAAAATTTTCTTTAGCTTATTTTTCATTTTCTGTAACACAATTGGACATTTGCATTTGGCATTTGGTCACTACAGATAATAAGTGAACAAACTTGGTGTGAGAAAAAAATTAAATGTGAAGAGGATGTGATTAGTCTAATTTAATTAAAATACTTGAGGTCTGAAAAACACAAAAGGAAAGAGCAGAGAGCAGCTCCTTAGGTAACTTGAATGTCCATCAAGGCTCCAAAATAATGAACACTTGACCACAAAGCAGATATTTTTCCAAGCTCTTTCTAGATATTATTTCATGCAATCACTATGTTAACTGAGGGGAAACAAGACTTAGAGAGACTAAATGTTGTGATGATCATTGTGGTGACTGAGCAGGGAGGAGTTCAGACATCCATTTTGCCACCACTACCTTATCCTACTTTATTGTATATAACACTTGACAACAAATATTCATTAGCCAGGGAAAACATCCTAGCTCTATGCCACAGCCTAGGATAATCATAGTTAAATCTTATGGTTGTGCAATGAGGGAGTAAATCTGTAAAATGAGTCAATTGAGTTCAAATTGAAATATGCTGTGACAAGTTTTAAAAGAAATATGTAACTTTTGAAAAGATGAAAGAAGAAGTTAATCTTTCTGGAAAAAATACCCCAAACTTGTGTTCTGGAGTACAAGAGCCTACTCCTGCAACTTACTGAGTAACTTTTTTAGTTACTATTTAACTTCTGTTTACTGCAAAGTTATCATCAGTGTAATAGCTATAATAAAATGTTCCATACCTTTCTCAAAGACTCTTGAAAATCCATGACTGATATCATGTACTTAGTGTTATTTTTAACTATTAACCCATTATTATCATGAAAGACCCTCTCAGAGGAAGTGACATGTGATTTTGGTTTTGAAATAAAGTAGAAATTTGCTGAGTAAAGTGCGCAAAGACAAACATGGCAGCTGCTCTGCTCATGTTTTCCTCATGTGGTCAGGTGGCTGGATGCTTCCCAACTCCTCTTTCAATTGTGTGGTAATGTCCATTTGTAGGACTTTTATTGAATCTCTGTCCTTTTTGTATTGGAATAGTTAAAATACCTCTATCTATGAAAGGAGTAAAACATTTAGGTCATACCCAACTTGAAATATTTATGTCTTCTCATAACACCATTTGGATGAGAAGATAGAACCTAGAAAATTTAAAGATAGAGGATATTCATCTTTGTGTGTGTAGTACCTAAGAGACAGCCTAACACAACACAGTTGCTGGACAGATACTTGAGGCGTGGAAGAAGTGAAGCAGTGACCTGAGGTCTGCCTTTGTCCTGTTGGTCACACTCACCTCTACTTTAATATCATTCTCTAACTCTGCATCAAGGAAATCCAATGTGACTGGCTCCTGAGATTTGGGGTTCTACACAGAAAACAATAACAACTAATTACATATGATATTATAAAATGATGCTGTGTAAAAGAGTTAATTTAATGGATATTTAAAGATGAAATTAATTCTCTAAAAGTTACTTACCTAAGATACATTAGTAATTGATAGAGGTATCTTCTTTCATATGCACATGAAACTATTTCATGAACATATGTACATGAAAGTAGACAGAGCTAAGAGATTGAGCTTTAAATGCAGTAGATTAATTGTAATTAATCATCAAATGAAAAACAGTCTCACCCTGAATGTTGTATTATACACTGCATTTATAATCATAAGCCTATGGGAATATGACTTTTGAAGATCCATTCACAACTTTCTTTCCTTTAATTAGAATGACAAAGTGCAAAATATAGCAATGTGACAATAAAACAAAGGCCATAAGTAAGCATCCCAAGCTGTAGTTCAGATAAAAAATAGACTGCGTATGGAAAAAATGTTTTTAAAACTAGTTTGAATTTTCTAAGTAAAACAAATTCTATAAGACCTATACTTTCTTCTCAATATGCATAAGGAAAAGAAATAAGTTAGTTTTATATACTTAAATCTCAGAAATTTTATATTTTATTAATTCAAACTATTAAGATTTTATAAGAAAACTTGTGGTCAAGTCACAAAGACTTTTATTAAGATTAGCTATTTTAATTAAAGTTTAACTAAATACTATTTCCTGACTTTTCTTGCTGATGCATAATAACAAATAAAGTTCACCATGGAATAAGATAATTTATTTATATATAAGTATATGATACTATTATTTTAATTTCACAATCACATATTGAAGACTTACTGAAGTAAATCAATGCAATCCTTTAAAACACCTGCTAAGTAACATGTCATAGAATTTCAAAGTTCACTAGAACAATAAATCATAATATGTATGATTTTATAAATGCAAAATTTTAGAAACTAGATTTTAAATGTTTATTAAAATAAACATTACCCCAGTCTCAGACTTAATTAGGTAGTGGTATTAAATGCACACTGTTCTAGATTAATGCCCAATCACCAGATTCTTGGTAATTATCAGCCTCCCTTTTCATCATCACTATTTGAAACACAACTTTAGGAGAGTAGACTTTCAAACACAAAAGGAACAGTTAAAAATTTATTAAAATTAAGCATATCTTTTTGGGGTATGGATAACAGCATACACAGTATTTTATAATTATGAAAAAACTGCCTTCAAGGAATAACTCCATTTTAAAAAGTATATTTTTTTTTATTCCCTTAGTTTTTGATGAATGAGAATACTTAAAGGCAAATTAAACAAAGATAATCTCACCTGTATTTTTTAAAATATATTTTCAGTTGTTGATGGACTTTTATTTTATTCATTTATTTATATATGGTGCTAAGAATTTAACACAGTGCCTCACACATGTGAGGTAAGCACTCTATCACTGAGCCACGAACCCAGCCCTCACCTGTATTTTTAAAACTGAACTATATTCACTGCTTAAGAACTCTTTGACTATAATCAGAAGGTTCTATATTACTAAAAGTCTAAGTATTTGATTTTTTGTTTGTTTGTTTTTGGTACTGGGGATTTAACCAAGGGTCACTTAACCACTGATCAGCATCCCTAGGTCTTTTTTTTTTTTTTTAATTTGGAGACAGGATCTCCCTTATTTAGGGCTTCACAAAGTTGCTGAGGCTGCTTTGAACTTGCAATCCTTCTGCCTCAGCATACTGAGCACCTGGGATTACAGTTTTTCACCACTGTTCCAGGCCAAATATTTAATTTTTTGAAAGAGAAACATACCATCATTTGGCCAGGTGGCCAGGGAGGCTGAGACAGGAGGATCCCGAGTTCAAAGCCAGCCTCAGCAAAAGCAAGGTGCTAAAGACTCAATGAGACCCTGTCTCTAAATAAAATACAAAATAGGACTGGGGATATGGCTCAGTGGTCAAGTGCCCCTGAGTTCAATCCCTGTTACCCCAACCTGCGCCCCCAATAACATCATTTGGAGGGCATAGTTTTGATTTAGAAGCAAATAAATATTCCATAAGAAGAAAATAAAAACATACATCATAAGAAGAAAATAAAAGGGTAATACTGAAAAGTCTTCAAATCTGTGGTTAAGAAAATGAGCTGGGAAAAGTGTTGCACACCTGTAACCCCAGTGACTCAGAAGGCTGAGACAGAAGGACCGCAGGTTTGAGGCCAGTCTGGCAACTTAAGGAGGCCTTAAGCAACTTAGTGAGACCCTGTCTCCAAATTAAAAATAAATAAATAAACAAATAAATAAATAACGGTTGGGAATAAAGTGCCCAGTGGATTCCATTCTGATTACTCAGTATCAAAACAAACAAACAAATAAATACATAAATAAAGTGAAAGAAAAAGAAACCTAGAAAGTCCCTAATGAAAGGACACTCAATCTAATATTTCAGAAGTGCCTATGTAAACTTCCATGAAATAAACCATCCTCATATAAACACCCTCAAAACAGAATTAAAATTTTAACAAACTCAATGCAAACAAAGTGAAAAATAATCAAAATGATAAAATGAAAACAGAAAAAAAAGAATATTTATCTTACATGCAATGGATAATGCATAGCATGACCAGACCCAAACAGCATGCAGGGAGGAGGCATTATCAGGAAGATTTGGCAATATGAAGATCATGTCCCAATCCAACATATAAAGACACAGAGAAGAAAATGAAATCATAACAGAAACATATCAATGCACCACTTGTATTTTTAAATGGCAATCTGACAGGCCACTTTTTAAAAAGACTCATCACAGGTATAGGGACTGAAAAATTTTCAGAATTCTAATAAGAAAAAACCAAGACAAGATTAAGAATAGAAATTTGTTTGATCCTATGGTCTCTGAATGCCCATTATTTTTGCTCATTTTAAATATGTGACAATTCTATTTGCAAAATTTAAATATCAACTGTCATAACAATCATTCATTTTGTGAAAATAAAAGGCAGGATGCAATATTAGCAAATTTTGAATTTGAAATAATTATTTGTCACTACGATTACAATACTTCATCGTTCAAAAATATCCCTCAAATTGAAAAGTCTTATATGGTTGCTAGATTGCCATTTGGAATTTTCTTAGAATGAAAACAAAAATAACGTAAACTATTATTCAGGATGTTTATTTTTTAATCATAATATTTACATGCAATGTTTGATTTTGCTACAAAAATTAAAATTCACTAAAATGCAGGATTGCAAAAAGTATAATTTAAGATGATACATAAAAAGAAAACATGCAAGGAGAGTAACAAAATATCAATATCAAGAATGACCTACACATAATAATAATCTTTATAAAAATTGTAAAAGATTCAGGGACTTATATGCAACAACATGAAATTCAGATTTTCTTGGAGCTCTAGAGCTGGAAGAGAAATGAAGCTTTTACTAGTTCAGTTCTCTGCATTTTAGAACAACCTCGGAAGCTTTAAAAATAATTTGGAGGCCAAAGTAAATCAGAAATTTGAAGAGAAGGGGCCCAGTAATAACAGATACGCTTCATTTCCCAGATGAACAGTCTGGGCAGGGCAGAGACACTGCTTTTCAGGTAAACAAAATGAAGTACTCCACTATTGGCCTCCAGAAGAACTAAACTCAAACTTAGTTCTAATTCACAGTTTAGCAACCTCTTCTGAAATCACACCACCTCTCCATTGTAATGTGACCAACACTTTTTTTAAGAAAATGGTAAGCTAATAAAGAAAGTATTAAATGTTGAACTTTCTTTGAAATTCTGAAATTCTCAAAGTTGTAGAAAGTATCCTTTTATGCTGATTATTTTTAATGTGCCCAGAAACATAAATAAATAAATAAGCAAACAAACTTTTTTTTTTTTGTTCGGGGCGTACCAGAGATTGAATTCAGGGGCAGTTGGTCACTGAGCCACATCCCCAGCCCAATTTTGTATCTTAGAGACAGTGTCTCACTGAGTTGCAAAGCTCCTGGCTATTGCTGAGGCTGGCTTTGAATCTGCAGTCATCCTGCCTCAGCCTCCCAAGCCTTTGGAATTACAGGTATGAGCCATCATTCCCAGCATATATATAATAACTTTTAAGTCTTGTTGATGGCAAAGATTTTGTAATAAATTTGCCAGGTGGTACATATTCACACTTTTTATTTGCAATATTGAACATTTTCAATTAGCTGAAGGGAAATTAACTTCTAATCCCAAATTACACTTTTAGAAATTCAAAGAAATTTTGGCTTAAAATATCTGGTTTATGGAAACTATCACATAAGAATTTCTATTTGCAATTAGAAGTCAATTTTACAAGCAAATTGTTAGGATCACAAAGATTTGACACTAATTTAACAATATTTAATAACATTTCCTTTTTAGAAGCCATCTCATTATGAATACCCTTGATTGTTAATATTATTACATAATTACTTAGCAATCTTTAGTTCACCAACGCATATCCTCTCCCATAATTAATAAAATTTTTGCTGCAGTTTATTGAGAAATGATGCTCATTTCCATCTCATGCTCTGTAAGCTAATGTCAGGAAATGCAGTTTTAATCAAAAGCTATAAGACCAAGCTTGATCTCAACTCTGATTTAGCAAATTTGAAAGCACAGCTAAGTCTACCTTCATTCATTTACCTGAACATTGGGTCTCCTTTTTCTTAAATTAACTGTTGGTATGCCTACACCAATAGGCTGAAGCAATAAAAAAATGATAATTCATCACAGTACATGTTAACATAGGTAATACTATAATCAATTGTGATCACATATTTCCTTAGTCAAAAAGCGGTTGATACTTAGAATTCAAAATATTTGATAAGCAGCATAGAATTCATGATGAGCTGATTTAAAAAAAATGAAAGTTTAAAAATATTTTTAATAAATAAAAACTGTTATCTTCACTTTGGTTGGTTTGTGTAGACGGGAGTGAAGTGAGGGTTGGGATTGTGGGGATGGGAAGAATGGTAAAAAGAGACAGGCATTATTACCCTATATACATATATGATTACACTACTGGAGTAACTCTAAACCATGGACAGCTAGAGGAATGAGAAGTTGTGCTCCATTTGTGTACTGTATGTCAAAATGCATTCTATTGTAATTAAAAAACAACTGTTATCCTCATAAAAATCATTGTTTAAGCAAACTAACTGTTAATGTTCTCCTGTTTTTCCTAGAAAAATACACACTTGGGAAGTGTAAAATAATTTGTACCAGACAGTTTTGAATTTTCCTGATTTAAAAATAAATAGATTGAGAAATAGGAATTGTTAGAATTTATATGACCCAACTTTGCAAACTGCAAATATTGCTAACTTTCTCCCCCAATTCATATGTTGCAATTTTTAACCTCAAAATTGATAGTATGAAGGAGAGGAGCAATGTAGGAAGCAATTAGGCTGAGGAGGTGCCCAGGGATTAGTAACCTATGGCAAACCTGACAGAAATCCTTTCCATTTCTGCCATGTGAGGTCTGAGCAAGGTGGCTGTATGTGAGAAAAAGGCACCTACTTACCCTTGCCTCAGCCTTGCACATCCTAGCCTTAAGGACTGTGAAAAGTATGTTTCTGATGTTTATAAGCCACCAGTCTCCTTTTTTTTTTTAACCATAGTAGCCTGAATAAAGCAATACTACAAAATACTGAAACATCTTAAACATTTGAAATTTGTGTCTTTGTTTTCTGAAAGTTTAGCCAATGTTATTTCTATTGAACTGATGAAGAATTCAACCATAACACTGTATACTCATTTTAGATATGGACTTCCAAATCATATATTATACTCCATTTTCAATATAATAAATATCTATCAGAATTTATCAAAATTAGATATTTTGAAAATATATCAAATATTAGATATATCAAATATTAGATATTAGACCATATCTGTTTATTTTAATGAAACAAATGGTAGAAATAAAATATGTAAAATAAAATAAAATAAGGATAAATCAGGAGACATATTTATATTTTTAAAAATTGTGGTCATAAGGTTACAGTACACATTGAGAAAAAACAGTGTGTTTTAAAGTACATGTATGAAGACTTGAATTGGGTGTCAACACACTTTATATACAAACAGAGATATGAAAGATTGTGGTATATATGTGTATTAAGAATTGTAATGCAAAAAAGTACATGTATAATGTCATAAATTGATGTGAACATACTTCATATACAGAGATATGAAAAATTGTGCTCTATATGTGTAATAAGGATAGTAATACATTCCACTGTTGTCGTGTATTTTAAAAAATAATAAAATCAATTTTAAAAAAGAATTAAAAAAATCTTCATAGCTACTTTATTTACTGATATTTGGAGCTTTTAAGAGGACACTATCCTAACTTCTATGAACTATAACATTATACTAAAATAGTTTGAAATAAGATTATAATATCAGAAAGAAAACAAAAAAGACACCAAACCAGGTATGTTTGGTTAACATTAGGTTTTCATCTTGTTAATTAATAATTGGTACTACGGATATAGCTACATTTTTTTTAATTTGTATTGATGAATTTCTGATGAAAGAATTAAGATTAAGTTTGTTGGTATAACATCTGTTACCATATTGTTTTTTGTATTTGACAATTTCTGAAATATTCATACTATATAGTTTCTTTTGTGAGGTTCTTATATTAATCTGTACAACATATATTGTTACTTACAAAGTAAAAATCATAATATTTATCCTGCTAATTATGAGAGTGCACAAGCATATTTAATTCACAAGTTTCGGGAAAGACAGTATGTTGACCTTTCAGAATTATTTCTTTTTAAAAATAATTTCCTAAAAGAGTATTTTTAAAAATATCTTACTGTTGCATGCTTACTTTTAATAAAATCCAATACCAAAACATGAGTGCTAATTTGTGAGCTGGAAGAAAAAAGTCAACTAGTTTTTAATGCAAATCTTATGAAATGTATATTTTTTGTAATTTTATGAATTTTAGTGTATTGATTATTCCAAATATGAGTTGAATACATATTAACATCATCAAATAGTGATAAAATATCTTCTATATAAATATTAGTCATTAGGAGATTGCAGAAGATGTTAAAACCTTTTTCAAATTACTACCTCCTTTTCATAACGAAAACTAGAACTTAAATTGTTATTTGTATATCTCTGTCATATATAGTTCCTTTGGGGAAAGGTTAAGGTCTATAATCAGAAAAATTGGGACTCTTTGTACTCCTTAGCACATTATACTTACATTGCTTTTAGATTACTTTAATTAAGAAGATATAATCTGAAATATACTGGGTACACAAAGTTCAAATAATATTTGAAAAGTTTAAACTTTTTTTTGAGATTTAGAAAGTTAGATATTTTCAACTATGACAGAAACCATAGCATGATTACCTAATCATAAGCAATGATATTGAAGAATTTAAATGACATACTTTTAAGAACTGTAATAATTTAATAACACAGACAAGTACTATTGTAAACTTTTATAAAAAGAATATGTTTAAACATGATATAGGATGTTCAATGGCCATGTATGCTTAGCAAATATTTATATCATGATGGATCTTATATGGCAATAAATTCCAAAGTGAGAAGAAATAATATAGAAACATTAAGATATATATTAAGATGCTAAAATAAATCATCACATTTAATATGTAACTCAATATCAATTGTCCTTATTGCTGTTTTGAATATTTCAGTGACACAACTTCATGTGTGTATGTGTGGGCACACCTGTGTTTACTAATCTGGCACTCATTCGACATCCATGACAGAAAGAAGGAGGTAACAGTCTCCATGGTTTATATCATTTTCAGCATTATCCTCAAATTTCACCAGTCACTTAAAAATGTTTACAAAATTTCCATTATATAAGATTTTGTCTAATTCTAAATGTAGGTAAATAAATTTTGCCATAACACCTTTTTAAGGATTAATGAAAAATGAAATGAGTTGAATGAAGTATTTTCTAAAAATGTTTTGTATCTTGGGAAAGTAGATATAAATATTAGGATAAAATAGTTTGTCTATGGATTTTATGGCTTATGGAACAACTCACTTAGTAAAAACTACACTTCCCATTTCTGAAATCCATCATATACATTTTACTTATTTAATTTTTTTTCTTAGGTATTTACAAGCCTGCCCCAGCATGAAACAATAGTCTGGGAGATGGAAAGCAGAGTAATTATCAGAAGAAAAGGGCAATGGGTAACGCAGCCTGGGCAGAAAGGAACATTGCTAATGCTTAGGAGGGTTACAGGAATGTCTGCAGCAGCACACCCTCACAGCCTTAATCAAAGCCACACATGTGATGTGTGAAAGTAGGCTCAGGAGATGATAATGGCTGTCTTTCACATAAGAATATTAGTTAACCTAAATTGGTAAGGGAAAATGCTTTTACCTCTTCACATGTCATAATCTGTGGTTTTGTCATCTAATAAGAGAGCCAGATTACAGACTATTCTTTTGTATTTAATGCTATAAAGTGAATTTTAAAATGAGAATCCTATTAAGATCATGAGTCATTAATTTTATAAATACTATGCATTGTAAACAAATTATATACATACCTTTGGCTGAAGATTTGGATGTAACAAAACATAACCATTAGGATCAATTGCAAAATAATAGCCATTGGGGCAGAGCTGAAAAATAATCAAAAAGTTTACAGATGTATGCTCACAATTAGAAATCCACATAATTTAAAAAAATGTTAAATTAATTGGTTATCACATTTAAGAGCATGCTAAAGGATGACATTCTATTTCTACTTTTTATTTTAAGGATGATATTTAGCTCCTTTGCTAAGATAATTGCACATCATTTTTTTCATAATTACTTAAGTACTTTATAGACAAGCTAAATTAATACACAGTTCTAAGAACAGGAAAGGTTACCAAAAAAGTAAATTGTATCTTACTGTGAAACGTGGTGTTAGCCTTTTAATATCTTCCAAAGACACATCAACGCCCATCACACCAAGAATCAGTTGGTTCTGTAACAAGATGGCAAAAAGTAGTTTATTTTGTACCCCAAATTATATATTTCTATACAATAATTATATATATGCATCCTTTTGCTGTAGTAATGGTTGTATTCCATACTAGTGTAAACAAATGTGTGTGCGTGTGTGAGTGTGCACAGATTGTAATTTGGTGTCAATTTACAAAGATTCTCAGCTTTGATCTTTTCCATAGTTTTATTATCACTGTTACTCAAATGAAATCTTGATGACTAAGATACTTGAAAACTTTCATTTGATACTTTTTGTACCTTTCTATCCTAATATTTATTTATGTAATACTTATTTATTGCATTGTTGGCTATTGTAGCTATATGTGTGCATGTTTGTGCATTGACTTTGTGGTATATTACAATTAAGAAACCACAAAAACGTTCAATTTAAAAATTGGACCAGTATGGAATAAAGAAACACCATATTCTTACAAATGATAGTGCCAATTTTTTGTAACTATCTTCAAAATATGTGACCTTATTAATAATCAAATCTTCAAGACAGTGTTCCTAATTGCTGCTAATAACTTCTCTATATAATGGGCATCATGGTTTTAATTTCAAGTCAAGAAACTATGTTGAAAATAACTATCATACTCATCTAAGGGAAATAAAAATGAAAATTGTATTAAAATTTTGAGTCATAAAACTTTGTTTGAAATAGAATTATATAAAATATAAAGTAATAAATCAAAATGTGTTTACAAACAAAATTTAAAATCTAGTCAGAAATTACAAAAAACACTTTAAACTCTGTGTGGGTGCTTATAAAATTAAAGTCATGTCAACAACTATGCTCTTTTGCCATGAAATAATCCTACTCTGCACTAAACTCTCAAATTAAAGCCATCTCAGAGACAGACTATACTGAGATCTTAAATGCAAATGAGGAATATGACAATTGCTCCATTATGAAATGCAATTTTTAGAATTCACAGATATTTAAGAATGGTAATGGGCCCCTAAAGAGAAATAACTGATATTGGATATGGCTATATTATTAGGATAAGCAGCTCAACTGAGGTTTACAATAATTGTACAAATAATGCTTAAGTGTAGCAGACTTCATTAAACCATGCACTAGAAATAAATATCCCTTCAAATAAATGGTATCACATTATAAAATAAACATTTGCTATTAAAAATTCTTAACTCCTGCCTTCTTAAATTCATTCTGAATCAAATTGAGAAATAAAAATTTATCACTACTTTTAAACCAAAATTAACAAAACAAGTACATGATTTTTAAAATAATTATTCAGAACTTTCAAATAGCATTTCATTGCATGACAATATTACCAGTGTTACAAAAATCTAACATTTTTTAGAAACTCATTAAGTATTTTCCCTGTATCTTAAAAAAAAGAGGAAAAAAGAACTATAAATCAGATACTTGAATTATGACTAAAAAATCTATTGTTTGGGAATTGGAAGAGTAAGGATTCAATAAATGCATTTATATACATCTGATAAAACATCATTATAGTTTTTGGTCTTTCTTCCCCCCCACCCCACAAACTTCATAAATACATCAAATGCATTTTAAAAATGAACACACAGTATTGACCATTTATCATGTAATTATTCCCAGAGTCTGACTCTGTGTTCTCATCAGGTCATAATTAAATAGACCAAAGCTCAACCTCGACTCTGGGGCGACAGAGAGTTTGACCTGAGCTTCCTTTTCCCAGGTGGTTATCACACAGGCAGCTGCTGCCACTGACCTCTGGCCTCACAAGACAGTTACACTGTATGCATTTCCTTACAGGAGTATCTTATCCACATTAAGCTTCAACATCACAGTTTATCATTTATTATTATTAATTTTATCAATTAACTTTTAACCTTTAAGTTTGTCTTATTTTCAAATTGGCCAGTTATGTTGAAGACCGGAAGAGTTCCAGTAATGACAAGTCCCAGTTCCTAAAAACAGATTGAGAGAAAAGGCAAATGAAAATGAAAATTTGAACTTTGTCCTACTGCCTTAGACCTTGATATACAAGACTTCATTTTATAGTTACTTGATAAAGAGCCACGGATAACTTGTAACTCATTTTGTGTTTTCAAAATATCAAAGTTTTGTGTTTTCAAAATATCAATGAAAATGTCTTGGAAATAATAAAGACTTATTAGGCAGCTATTAAAGCATGTAAGATTTGAAATATTACTCCAGTGCGCATTGCAAATAAATAAAAATATTCTACTCATGTAAAGATTCATTAGCCTCTAAACATTTTAGAAACTGTCCACCCTCCATGCTCTTTTTCACAGAGACAGTTTATCTACCATCAGGGCCCTCCATAAGCAGAATGGTATAAAAATATTATTTTAAATGATTTACTTCATTTTTGTGGTTTTATTCTTAACTTTTAATGCCCTAACCCAAACTATTCATGCTATTTCACAAATGTGTAGTAAAAGAACTAAGCTATTGATATAGCATTTCTGGAACACTCTAGATACATGCTATGCTGTACAAAAGAAGAATTAATTCTAAATAACACCCAAAATAAATATTACTTTTTAAGAAAGTAATGTAGAAAAATAAACTTGCAAATGGCAAATATGAAAGTCTAGTCATGAAGCAATTTAGCAAAACAAAATAATTCCATTTGATTAATCAGCAGATTGATATTCTCATATATTAAAAAATACATGGATATTATGTAAAATAGAAGTTTTTTTTTAAATTACTGACATCCATGGCATGTGTGTGTCTCTCTGTGTATGCATAACCACTATTTCATGTTAAAACTACATTCACCAAAATCACTCTTTAAAGAAATTTTGAATTTGCTAATAAACTGAGAAAATATTAGTAATCTCCTTAAAAATAACCCCAAATTTAAACCTCATAAACTCTGCTCTGATTCCAGTAACAGTGTGGTTTTATGGAGAGAATGTCTTAAATAGGCTTTAGTTTTTACTTGTGCATGCAAGAAGCCCTAAAGCAATGAAAACTGATTCAGGGAGGAGGGCAATCATCCAAAAACTTCCAGTAGAACAAGACACTAGATAAGCTGGCATAGCTACAGATAGTTCAGTACATGATGATATGCCTATTGGCTCTCTGTTTCATCCTAAACAACAACATTTGAATGAAGAGATCCTTAATTAATTATGCAAATTAACATTCTCAGTGAAAACATTCTATCTCAATAGAAAGTCAGATCATAAATTCATAAAGCTGGTATCCAGAGGATAATTCTGTGAAGATTACTTTAGATAATTTTCTATTTATGTTGCAATCTATAAGAAAAGTGTTACGATTTGCATGAGGGGTCCCCAATGAAGTGCCTCTTTTAATGCAGGAATGTTCAGAGGTAAAGTAACTGGATTGTGACAGCTGTAACCTAATCATTCTATCCTAGTTTGAACAGACTGGGTGACAACTGTAGGAAGGTAGCAAGTGGCTCAAAGATGATGGTCAATGGGATACCCTGGAATGGGGTATCTTCACTTTGGCCCATTCTGAGTATGCTCCCTTCTCTCTCTCTCTCTCTCTCTCTCTCTCTCTCTCTCTCTCTCTGCTTCCTGACCCCACCACAAGTTGAGCATCTTAACTCTGCTGGGCCCTTACCCATGATATGCTGCCTCACCATGGCCCAGAGTAATGGAGTTAGCCATCTATGGACTCAGATCTCTGTGAGCCACAAATAAACATTTCCTCCTCTAAATTGTTCTTGTCGCCCTGGTGTGACCTGTAGATTTGGGCAGAAGTTGATGAATTGTAACAGAAGCAACAGAGACTGGGGTGGTTGTGGATGGGCTGTGGGAGCAGGGGGGACACAGGGAATTTTGAACTTCACCCCAATTGTCCTGGATGCTTAAACTATATTAGAAAATAAAGTCTAAAATATTCCCATGTGAAAAAATAAATAAATAAATAAATAAATAAATAAATAAATAAATTGTTCTTGTCGAGTAGTTTGGTTACAGTGAAGCAAAAGCTGACTAAAACAGACACTGGCACTGAGTGACCATGTGGTTCCCAACATTTTGGAGATGGTTGGTAGGAAGAATTTTGAAAAGTTCAGCAATGCAGGCTGAAAAGCTTTAGAATACTGAAAGTGGACGTTAATGGGCAATTCTGGTGGGAGATCAGAAGGCAGAGTGCCAACAGAAATGTGACTGTGCTTGTGAGGTTTCAGAGGGAGATGAGGACTCTATTGGGAAGAGGATTAGAGGTCATTCATGTTATGGATTATGGCAAAGAATTTGGCTACATTTTTCCCACATCCTGAGACTTTACGTGAGATTGAATTTAAAAGTGATGGACTAATAAATCTGGTGGAGGAAATTTCAAGGCAAAATAGCATTCAATCAGTGTCATGGCTATTATGGCAGCTCTTAGCTAGGTTTACATTGAGAATTGAAAGCAGAAAACAGACAGAAAGAAGTTAAAAAAAAAAAAAAAAAAAACTGTGGTTTGGCCAGAAATGTGCATGAGAAGCTGGGGATAAGGAAAGTATGCTTATTGAAGAGAGAACACCCTTAAAAAGATGCTAAGTATTTTGCAAAAAGTTAAGTGGTCATGAAGGCTTTGACCAAGATTTCAAAGGAAGGCCTCTGAAGTCTGGCAAGGTGTAGCTGGGTTGGAGTTCCTGTAGGCTGTCCCTGAGAATGCAATGGGTTATGGGGAAGCCAAAGCTGGAATGGAGACCCTAGGAAATGAGATTCCAGTAATGTGGACTGTCTACTAAAAATGCTGTTGACTTAGGAGAGAACCAAGCTAAAAGAGAGCCTATGTGAAGTGCAACCATCAAGGCCAAAGGGGAAGAGCTGACCAAACCCTTTGAAAATAACCATGTTGCCACCAAGTGTCCTAGATACTGTAGGTATAGTTGGGAACCTGTTTGCCCAGGTCTGCTTTGGGTCCATCCCTTCTTTCATCCTTTTTTGGAATGGGAATATTTGCTCTGTACGACTCTAATATATTAAATACATGTAACTTGCTTTTGAATTTTACAGGGGCTCACAGCTCAGAGTTTGCCTTGAGTCTCAGAGGAGATTCTGAAGTTAGACTCTTGGGCAATGCAAAAACTGTTAAAACAATGGGGCTCTTGGAGATAGACTAAATGCATTTTGCATTACTAGACAGAAATGAAGTTTGGGGCACCCAGGGTAGAATGTTATGGTTGGATGTGAGGTGTCTCCCCTAAACTGCCTGGGTTAATTCAGGAATATTCAGAAGTCAAGTGACTGGATTCAGAGAGTTGTAACCTAATCAGTCCATCCTAGTTTGAATGGATTAGATGATAACTATAGGCAGGTGGGGAGTGGCTTTGAGAAGTGGATCATTGGAGTTATATCCTAGAAAGGTGCATCTTACTTTTGGCCCCTTCCGCTCTCTCTGCTTCCTGACCCCATCGTGAGCTGAGCAGCTTTCCTCCACTGGGTATTTCCCCATTATGCTTTCTCATGTTGGGCCCAGAATAATGGAGTCAGATTTCCATGGACTGAGACCTCTGAAACTGAGCCTCACAAACTTTTTCTCCTCCGAGTTTTTGTTGTTGTTGTTGTTGTTATTATTTTGTCATGTATGTTGGTCAAAAAACTCAAAAAGTGACTAAAAAAGTTTTAAAAATTGGTATCATGATAGAAAATATAGATATGAATGTAGTCTTTATCTTTGCCTCATTTCTGCATTTGTATAGAATTTTATACTTTGCTTCTAAAAATGTGGTATACCCCCAATGAGGTCCTAGATGACTATTAGAGTTAAGATAACCATGGATGAATTCATTGGCACCCAATTTCCATTTTCTCCCTCATTTATCAAGTGAACCAAAAAGTATACTGTGTTTATCAGTACTGCCAGTATTTCTAGAGAATAAAAACCAAAATAATATATAAGATTTATATCTCCTTGGTTTTAATATTTATTTTCTGAAACCCAACTCTTTTCATCTCTTTTTATTTAAAGAGCCTCATTTTACCTCCCAAATAAAATCCCTCTACAAGTTACCTCCTTCTGTTCTGATATCTTTTTAGTTCTATAGGTGACAACAGTCCTTCAATATATCCAGTACACTGCCCAATTTTATGCTATATCTATGTGGTTCCTCTCCTCACCATCAGTTAAAGAAACTGTACTTGAACTCATATGTTTAGCTAAAACATCACTATTTTTTAATGTCCCATTCTACCCCCAGACATATAACTTTTTTTCTTTTGAAACACCAGAGCTCTTCGAATTTTTCCCATTATATTACACTTTGTCTTCAAATATTATACCTTTTCCTTTTTAATAAAATTGTGGATTTGACTAACATAATTTGAATCTGCTGTATAAATTATAATGTGATTATAAAAAAAATACTTAGAAATATACAATGGGTCCCTTATTCTGAAACCAGAAAAAAAAAAGTTCTATTTGTGTGCACTGCATAGCCAACTCGTGTGTTCCATTTCTTTTCTTGTTTTACATTTAGTTTCAGCTTGTAAACAGACATTTAGAATTAACATTTCCTTCTAATGTCATTTGTGCTATCAGTAGGAACCTTACCAGCAATGCAGACATTCTGGTTAATGAACTTCTGGTCATAGGAAAGGAACAGGGCATACTTATTGGCTCCTCCTATCATACACTGTCTTGGATGAATTTAAAAAAGTGAAACATCTTGCCCATAGCTTTAGATGACCATGTGACCTTAAGTAAATAAGTGATGTCAAGAAGGAACATTGGGTGGTAATTTTAGCTAGGACTTGAGGTAAGCAAGTCTCACTTTATCTTTCTTAGCGTGCAAGGCCACTGCTAATAGTGCCTATTTTTCTTCTAACTTCCTGTATATGTTTACTTTATAAGAATCAAATGATAAGTAACTCTAAATGGATTGTATTTTGCCCTTTGGGTTCAACATTGCATGGAAAAAAGAAGTAACAGCATATAATTGGACTCCAAGTAGGGGAAAGGGTACTACTGAATCAGCAATTACTTTTTAGGACTTAGTATTTTGGCTTTCCCCAGTATGTTGTTCCAGCAAAGCATGAATAAAGACTTCAAAGTAAGATTAAGCATATGAATAAATCTTAAGTATTATAAATCTTTATAAATTGAATATTAGGAAAATAAAAATAACATCAAAACATGACTTTGATCCTACAAAATCTAGGGCTGGATAATTTTTCTTGCGCATGTGTGCGCAATGGGACTGTTCTGTGCATTGTAAGATGTTTAGCAGCATCTCCGGCCTCTGTCTGTGAAGACCAGTAGTAGCAGCTACTCACTCTCCAGCCCTGACCATAAAAAAAATATATATACAGATATTTCCAAATGAATTGTGAAGGGCAAAATTACCCCCATTTGAGAACTACTGCTTTAAAGTGTGGTGGAATACCTATTCTAATATGTCAATTGTGCTGTGGATCTTTGGCATGTTGTTTCACACCAGAACCAACCACCAGTATCCTATTTCCATTAAAAATGTCTGGATTTGAATTTAAAGCATAAGATTATATATGAAGAGGTAATTAGGCCTGTAATGACTTCAATGTATGATAAGAATTTTGCCTAATAGAATGTACTTCTGAATATTGGTGAGTCTGATTACATTTGAGGTTGTATATTTCTACTAGCTGACATCTACTTTAAAAATAATTTCTTTAAAATCTTTAGAAATGGGTTTTTATTTATATGGTATTGAGCATTTTTTTACATTAAAATTCAACAAGTTATGAAAATTTCTATAAATTCAACATTCTAGGATGAAAATTCTTCATTCTCAGTGGATTAACTACAAAACAAAATAATACTTTACATTTGTAGCTCCGTATTACATACAAATCTAGAATTCTATTCAAATTATCTAAATTCTGGCTACAAAAGCTTATGATAGAAGGAATTTTAAAAAGAGTTTAACTTAAACGGGAAAAGAGAAATGTCCCCTAAAAAAGAACAGTCAGATGTGTGCCTATTTTTTAATGGCAGTCTAGTTTAACATCCAATCTCTTACCAGTGCATCCAAGTAAACATTTGTCCATTGGACTTGCTTCGCTTTGTCTCCTGCTAAAACCATAGGTCTCCCCAGAACATCCAGATATTCCTATTTATAAAAGAAAAGAAAAGAGAAAGAAGGAAAGGAAAAAAGAAAGAGGGAAAAAAGCTATGCTTCAAAACTAGAAAAGCTATGTGCTTTAAAAAACAAATTTCCACAGGGGGAAAAATAATCTAGAGTTAAAAATGAATACAGAATCAAATTATTAACAGAGTGAATTATTTAATCCTATTTTGGGCATTTCATAAGTGGTAAGTCTCCATACTTTGAATCAACAATATTTGACTTATTTACATAATATATCTACCCCCATTTTTTCTAGCAACAATAATCAGAACATTGTTTCTCAAGGTACAGCCTATGATAAGTGAAATACATGCCTTATGAATTGTTTCATGTTGATCTAAACTATTTAAGGCACTATGATTTACTGTGTGAAATTGCACAAATTTGAAATAATAAAACAGCCACATACTTGCTTTCATATCACAGATTGTTTGGCTGGAATTCAAAACTACATTTAAACATATCAAAAAATAAATGAAATATGGTGCCAAATCTAGACATGAGACTCAAATGCAGCTGCTGTTTCATTTCAACATTCAATGTATTCAGTATTAATTTCCACAAAGGCAGTGTTATTTATCCTAAATTGTGACTTAGTCTACTTTGTAGATTCTCAGCTATGTTTAAAATTGAGAGATGGTTTTAAACAATAATTTATGAATTGAAAATAATATACATTTAAATTCACTTCCTTACTAATCCTACAAAAAAATTACTCTTGTTTTCAATTCTGTTGAATTGTTTTCAATTGAATGAGTTAGAAAACTTGTCTCCTTGTAACTATTTTAATCAGTAAGTAGATCTTTAGGGATTATTTGAAAATAACTATGGCCTTGTATGATTTGTCAAGAATAAGTATTGTTTAACTTTTATATTGTTAAGAAATTTACTTAAGTGATCTGCAACAGAATCAAGTTCCAATAACATGAGACTGTTAGTAAATTTGATTATATTCATTATGGTGAGAAAAATAACATATTCATATTTCTATTCATGTTTTTACCTGAGTTTTGGATGTTTGAAAACACTTGGAACCTTAATGAAATAAAAATCCATCATTATGATACTCAGCATTTTAGTAAAAAATGTAACATTTTGTGTTTTTTTTTAAATTTTCATCTATTTTTTCTATATTGAGCACATTTAAACTGGAAAAATATCTTAAACTTTGAAAAAATATTATAAGTGAGTTTCAAATAAACATACCTGAGTATTAATTCTTATTGCTCCAATTGAAGGAATTTCATAATAATAACCTGAAATACATATATGTATTTATACATATAAATATTTCATTATAATAGACAAAATTGTTTTATGTCTTTGTAGGATAAAAGGATACGTTTTTCACTGCTAAATTAAGCAAACACTGAAATATATATACAACTGACAAATTCAGAAGATGTTTGATAAATGAATATTTGCAACATATGAACAGGCTTTATGAGAAATTTTACTGAATTTCTTAGACAGTGTAAAATAAATATTCTTCTATAAAGAAGTAGGAAAAATGGCATAGTGAAATATATTTTCACTATACATATTATTAAAGATGTAGATATATAGTTATATATATATATATATATATATATGCATATATATCCATGCACATATTCACACACACATAAAATGTTTGCCTAAATATAACTTTCAGAATACTTCAGGTTCTTTTAGTTGCTATGGTATCACAGTTTATTTTTCAAATAACATTTTCTTTTTCTGGCCCAAAAGAAATATGGGCTCACTACACAAAATTTATCTAGGAATGTATGAGACATTTTTCAAAAAACAGTAATTTAGCAACTCAAAAACAGGCTCACATGTGTCACACTGTCATATGTTTTATAAAATTCAGATATTCTTTTATTTCTACTTTTCCATAAAAAATTATATTTGTTATATATCATTATTATTCAATACATCCTTTTATGAATTTACAATATTATGATTTCATAATTTTTTACAATATAATGCTAATGTCAAAAATGTATTATGTTTTCACTATAAAAAAATGTTCAAAATCTTTTTGCCTTGAGCTGGGTGCTATTGTGCACTCCTATATAATCATAGTGATTAAGGAGGCTGAATCAGAAGAATTGCATGATTTAAGGACAGCCTCAGCAACTCAGCAAGACCCTGTCTCAAAATAAAATACTGAGGATGTAAATAAGTAGTGAAGCATTCCTGGGTAAAATCTCTGGTACACACACACAAAAAAAATCGTATTGCTTTGATTCCTATAAGAGTTAGGTACAACTATAGATTATTTTATATGACAATGTAAACTTAAAAAGCTACCACCCCCATTTTTTTCTTCTAATAAAACATAGTGAGGAAAACAGATAATTACCTTTATTTTCACAAGCCATCCACTGAATTGGTCCTCTGTCATAATTATGTTGACCAACTGAAAATGTGAACACTCGTACCTAGATGAATTGAAAAATAAGTATCCATTAGGCTTGAAAAAATTTAATTGAATGGCAAATAAAAATAGCTACAGCAAGACACAATAAAGTTTTTCAGTTAATTTCATATGACAAGAAAAATGTAAGCGAATAAAGAATTCAGGAGGGCACCAGAGGGAAATCACATAGCCTTCTATAAACATAGACTCCAATTGCCAAATTTAGATTAGCACTTTGGTGTCCTGCATCATATCCCAGTCCTCAGGCAGGAGCATGATTAAGCTTTCATTAGTAGAAAATGCATCTTTCAGGTCCACCTCAATTTGACCTGGTTAAACCTGTCTCACTTGGTTATATCACCCACATATAGAGAGAGTCAGGGCAAAAAAATATTTCCGTATATCATAGGTAGGAAAATGTATACAGAAGGCCATGTTACTTTTAGTTGCTTAAGGCAAGTCAACTCAGTGTTGGCTACTTTCACAACATGGAACTATTTAAGATGCACACATATAATTATGATGCTACTATAAGACTTATTTTCTAGAAAAGATGGCTGACACAGATAAATAGGCAAATATGCTCCTAGCTTTTCCTAATTTTTGTGAATTGTCTATTTGAATTGACATTTTGTAATTGCTTAATTTTTTGTACATGATTACAGAGCACAAACCTCAGAGACTTCACATCTGTTTCTTTTCTTTTATTGGACTTGGCCACACAGATGACATCTTAATAATCCCTGCCCCAAACATTCATACTGGGATATTGCTGTTTCTCTTGCTAGGGTTTTATCTGAGTCACTCTTTAAGTCATTCAGGTCTGCCTTAGCTAGTAATGTAGGAAGTGATTAAGTTTTAATTAGCTCAAAATTATAAGGATAAATGACTGGATTTAGGTTAAAGGTAGAAGGGGGCTCACACTCGCCCATGCTGGCTTTCCCACTCTCATGCACACATGTTCTCTCTAGCCCTTCTTCTATCTTTAGGAATTCTCCCTCTAAGTGCAAAATTTTCTCCAATTAGGTCATTTTAGGGGGCTCTATATATTTGAAAATCATGTTAATGCTTACATAGTTGAGCCTACCCCTAAAGGGAAGTGTTTTTATAAGCAGGCTGACCACCCTAACTGTTAATTCAATTTGACTGCCATACCTTAAACAATCATCACATGAATTCAGAACAGGGGGGAAAAAATCCAGATGCTTCAGAGAGCACTTGGTTATGTCCTTTATAAGTAAGGTTGGTAAGTCAAGTTTCAGATGTTCAAACAAAGCACAGATGTGTCTAGTTGTCACCACTAGCTGTGTCTACTGTAACCACAATAGTGTTGTGGTGAAATATTTTTCACAAGATACTTTTCAGTGTAAAGAATTAAATGAGTATGACTAAGTGAATTATGTCTATGTCTCTGGAAGGTAAGCACTTCTAAAAACTGAAAGGCTATACACTTAGACCCCCACTGTGAGATTATTTTGATTAATGTTATCATTCAAATAGTCCAAATAAACATTTAACTTTTAAAAAATATCCAGTAGAAAAAGACTGATTGCTTTGTTTTATTACAAAAGTTTCACCTAACCCTCATATGTTTGCCTACATGGAGCCTTCAGAAGTTGTCAAAATTAAGGAATTTGGGATCAGAGCTGGGTGTCTATCCTGTCACATTTAATTACAAAATTTTAAGCATCCTAAATTGTACCCCCCCCCCTTTGTTCTTTTTCTCACATAGGTTCTTGGTTATTTAGATGTTAACTAAACATTTAAATGTAAGCCAATCATTAACCGATTGAATGCCTTGCTTATTATATGTGTTCAACTTGTACCTCTTTTCTCAATTTTTCACTTACCTTGCTGCAGACATTTTAATAACCATTTTTTTTCTGAAAAAAAATTTCTCCCAGTAGATACTAAAAATCTTAAGAATAAAAATGTATGTACTCTTATAATGTTTGCAACTGTCTTACCATTAAAATATTTACAAAATCTATCATCTGTTTATTTTTCCCCAAGTTTATATATACACATACATATACACTTAAAAATTTTATAAACTATAGATTATCTTAGAATGTTCTGATATTATTTTATTAAATATATGTATACTTTCATTACTGGAAATTGAACCATGGCTTCTTACATGCTAGGTAGGTACCACTGAATACATGCCCAGCCCATTTGACTTTTTTAAGACAGAGTGTCCCCAAGTTGTCCAGGTTGGCTTTATATTTGAAATCATCTTCATCAGACTCCTGAGTCACTGGGATTACAGGGGTGCACTACAACACCCAGCTATAAATGTATATTTAGTTGAGAAAAAGTTAAGTGTATGTCACTCAAAACTTGGCATCTACAATAGTGCCTTACACATATTCTTTATACCACCATGAAAATCAATACACAAATATTTCATTCCCAGGTGCTGTATCTTAGCTAAATTTGTCTTTGTTAATTTATGTTAGCTAATTATGTAGTCAAAAACTTTAAGTCCACTGATTTCATAAAAATGTACATTACATATTTTATAGTGCATGTAGATAATGAATTGGCAAAATTTAGAAGAATCTGCGTGCACTGATTTTTTCACTTGGAATTACAAATGGCTTCATTTCTCCTGAAGTGTACTATATTACTGCCACCCTGTGGAGCAGTCAATGAACTACTGAACTCTGAAAATTTAGATGCCCAAATCTAGAGATGACTATTATTCCCACCTTCAGAGGCTTTCCACTTCTTTAAATTTGTAATTCTTATTTATCCAAAATTTTGGAGAAATGGGAAATAAAGTCAACCCTTGAAATATGCACAATTTAAAATTTAAGGTAAATTTAATTCTCAAAGATGGGGTATAAATGTAGAGCTTTTTTAGTGCATTTGTATTGTTCTGTACAAAAACAAAAAGATATATAAAATATCTCAAAACACTAAATCAGTAGTCAGTCATACAAGCTGAATATTTTATCTGAACTTTCAAGTATAAACTACCTACTTTAGACTATGCCTATATCATGGCAGATTCAACTTCTGCTGAGGGAAATTTATTTAGTTCATGTCTAGTAGCACATTTATAATCATATAACAAAAGCACACTGGGAATTTCCAAGTGAAATATTCATATTCAGTTATAAGTTTCTCAGCTAGTGTGATTTTAAATTGGCTCTTATTTTAAAGGGTGTACTTCTGTGAAGTTTTCATCACAGGGTCACGTATTAGACATACATGATCCACTGTAAATGGCTTTCACATATATTTTTCATAATGCGCAGAGCCCAGGGCTTTAACAGAGGTAATGTGGGAAAACAGCATTGAATAAATATCAAATTGAGATAAAAAATTCCAAGATAAAAGAATTCCAACTTAGTATCTATTATAGTACTATACACATAAATGGAAATATTAAATGAAAGGAAATTGAATAAACAAAATGAGTAGTTTCTCATTTTACAGAGACTAAAGACAAGTTCTCTTCTCTGTACTGTATATTAGTCAGTTCATAATGATATTTAGGAAGAGCACACTGAAGCTGGACTTATAGGCATCTCACACTTTGGAATTTGGGTAGTTTCATTATACTTAGAGTAAATATCTAATCTTTTTTTTAAGTACATTTGCTTGCTGGAGTTAAGTAAAAAAAATTAGGCAAAATGTAAGGACATTTATTACACTTATAGCATCCACATGCTCTGTTATTCCTAGAGAATACAAAAATCTTGTAACTCTCAACTCACCCTTAGGTGTAAAAGTATATTCACTGAAGTAACAATAATTTTGGGGTAGATAAGATTAGGCAAATTAAAAAACCAGTCATTATTAGTTGTAAATTTATATAGTTTACCCTTAGTTGTTTAAAAATAATTTTTTTCTCTGAACATAATAATTCCAATAATTCAAAGTATATGAGTCTGGACTACTTGTTTCAAAAATAACCTTAATTTTCAGTAAATTTGGATTATTTAAAATATACTACTTGTTTATTCCATATAAGCCATTAGTTCACAAATTTACACTATGTTTCTGACTTTTGCTAATCTGTTTTATAACTTGTTTTGTCTCTTTTGTTGAATACTAAAATACTTTTCTTCAATTAAGAGATTTCCAAAACCACAGGGTCAACCTATTTTAAAAAGTCCTAAGAATTTTCTTCCCAGCAGAACTCAGTTACTGGAAACTGTCACCTCAACAATTATCAGTTACCCAGAGTTCAAGTTTAATTTACAACAGGCAAATCTCCAAAGAATAATGGAAGTGAGTCTATGAAGAAAGGAAGCCAGTAAAACTAAAATAAAAGCTTCAGCTATTGAGACATGTTAGAAAAATGATGTCAGAGATGGGCTGTATTAATCTACTCTATGCACTAAATTTTTTGGTATTAAGCCTATCAAAATATTAGACAGGACTGAATGTTTCAAGAGAAAATTCTACAGTGGTCTCTTTAATTTACACACGTACTCAACCCCAGAGTGCTTGATTAGCCCACATCTCTAGTTTTATTACATTATACAATAAAGGAAAATGTCCAAATTCTTGTGTCACCATTTATTTTAAAAGCCCAAATGATCTGAAAGGTAACTGCAACCTACAAAGTTCTGACTATCTCTCTTAGGCTGTTGAAGTTGTGAGGAATGTATCCCAGAGGGGTGAAGCCCAGCTGCCTGACTAGAAGGCAGGCTCCTAGGTGGACAAATGATGATCAGCACACACAGATGAAAGACACAGACAGATGACCAGCCAGGCTCATTCTATATGAGGGTATGAAATTTAGGCTATCAATGAAATTCTTGACTCTGCCACATAGTTGTTGTTGATTTTCAACAAGTTACTTAACTTCTGTAATTTGGGCTTTCATATTTCCAAAATGGGGACAATGATGATGATGATACTTTTAATCAGATGAGCATTCCAGTCATAAAAAATAAAGGTTGTATTTATAACACATAAAAACTATAAGCTCCATGAATTTTACCTACCATAATGAAGATGATAGTGATGATGATGACTACAAAGTTCCAGAATTCAATGATG